ACCAGCGCCGCCGGCGCCGCCACAGCGGACGCTCCGCCGAGGCAGCAGGTGCCGCTGCAGGCGGCCGTGCCCACTGCGGCGGCGGCGGCGGGACAGGCGCGGCTGGCGGGGGCCGAGGAGCGAGCCATGCCAGCGCTGCCCGAATGGGCGCGTGCCTCTGCACGGGCGCCACATGACGAGCTATCGGCCCATGCCAGCGCGTTCTGCGACACAGACGCGCGCACTGCGGCCGCGCTGGAAACGGCGAGTTTTGACACCGCGGTGCTCGGGCCCGCGGGCGCCCGCGAACTCGCTGCCGCCGCCCCCGATGACGACACCGTGCCCACCACGCAGCCGCCGCCGCCGTCCCCGACGGGCGCCTCGGCGGCGCGCCCGCCGCCCGCCGCCCGATCCGCGCAGCCTGCTGTTCTCGTGGCGCCGACGACGCCGCGCAGAATGTCGGCTTCTGCGCCGCTGGCGCCCTCGCCGCGCCCGACCCTGGGGCTGTCCGCGCCTTCGAGGCCGGCCAGGCCACACCGCTGCGCGCCGGAGCTCGCAGATTACCCCCGAGTCCCCCAGCGCGGCCAGCTGGCGGACGCAGGACGGCCCCTGCAGCCTGGCCTTGACGCTGACAATGCGCTCCCCCGAGGGCCATCCGCGGGCGCCTGGGGCTGCCGCCATCGCGGCCCCCGCGCCGACGGACGCCGAGGCCCAGGAGGTGACGCCAGAAACGACCGCCCTCGCGCCGAAGGAGGCTCCGCTTCAGCCTCGCCTCGTGCAGTCTGCCTCCTCCTCCTCATCCTCCTCCTCCCTCCCTCCCTCCCTCCCTCCCTCCCTCCCTCCCTCCTCAAGCCCCGATCCCCCCCGCCTCCTCCGCTCCATCCTCCTCCCCCCTCCTCCCCTCCGCCGCCTCCTTCGTTGCCTTCACCTCCTCCGCCACCCGTCGACGTCGATGCCATCGGGTCGCTCCCCGGGGGGATCTTCCATGCGTCCCACGCCGCCGACTCGGACAGCGGCTCCGACGACGGCGACGCCCGCGGGGGGAGGGGGGGGTCCGAATTAGTTGTCGGGAATTTTCGGTGGCTGTCTATGGCGTACGATCTGCGTGAGGGGTGTGCCGAACTAGGTGCGACGGCGCCGTGTGGGCACCCGCACAGGGGCCACAGGTGAAGCTCCGTTTGGGGCTCGATCTGCGCGAAGGGTGTGCCAGAATGGGCGCCGTGGCGCCGTGGTGGGCACCCCCGCGGGGGCCACAGTGGGAACTCCACGTGGAGCGCGATCTGCGTGAGGGCGGCGCCATGTGGACACCCCCACGGGGACCACAGATGGAGCTCCCCATGGTGTACGGCAATGAAGGGTGCGCCGAAATGGGCGCGGCGGCGCCATGCGGACACCCCCATCGGGGCAACAGGCGGAGCTCGCAAGGCCTCCTGGTGGTCCTCCCTGAGCCTCTGGGGGACTCGCGAGGCCTTTGGGAAACTCCGAGACATTTGTATGCCCTCGCTGGGCCTCCGAAGGCATCTGGAGGCTTCCATGGGCGTCCAGGGACCTCCAGCCGTGGCGATACGGGCACTGGGGCCGTGGGCGGAATTCCCGATGGGGCCTCGAAACGTGTGAGAGGTGTGCCGAAATGGGGGCGGCGCCGCCATGCGAACATGCCCACTGGGACCTCAAGTGGACCTCTCTTTGATGGCACGAAGCGTGTGAGTAGTGTGCCGAAATTAAGCGGTGCCGCCATTCGAAGATTGCCACCTGGGCATCAATGGGCTTCAAGTGGAGCCCCCAATGGGGCTAGTAAGTGTGTGAGGTCGTGCCGAAATAAGGGCGGCAACGCCGTGCAAACGTTGCGACTGCGGCATTAGACCTTAGGTGGAGTTCCCTATGGGGCCACGAAGCGTGTGTGCAGAGTGCCGAAATAAGGCGGCGCCGCCATGTGAACATGGCCACTGGGGCCTTAGGTGGAGATCTCGATAGGGGCCATGAAGCGCGCGAGGGGTGTGCCACAAGGACGGCGGCACCACCATGCGAACATAACCGTTGAGACCGCAGGTGGAGCTCCCTATGGTCACGAAGAGTGTGAGCTGGCAAGTGCGAAAGTGAGCATGGCGCCGCCATTCGAACATTGACTTTGGGTCCTTCTTCGAAATCCCAATATGGCCATGAAGCGTGTGAGGGGGCGTGCCGAAATGAGGCGGCGTCGCCATGCGAACATGCCCACGGTGCCTTTGGGTGGAGCTCCCAATGGGGCAACGGAGCGTGGGAGTAGTGTGCCGAAACGGCGCCGCCCTGCGAGCATGCCGATTGTGGCTCTTGGGTGGAGCTCCCCTATGGGGCCACGAATCGTGTAACGGGTGTGCCGACAATCAGCGGAAGTGGAGGAAGATGGTGAGAGGAGTTGGGAGGTGGGGCGGAGGCGCTGCGGATCGAAATCAAGAAACAACGATCGAAGATCGAGAGAAAACCGACGATACATCGACTACGAAAACGGAGGTCTTCCCAAGGGTAGTCTTTCATCCCGGGTCCGTTGATTTTTCGCGCCGCTGAGGGGGGGAGATCATGGAAGGATGGGGGGAGGAGAGAGGGAAGGAGGGGAAGTGAAAGAGCGGGGGGCGGCGACCGCGACGACGACGACGAGAAAAGAGAGAGGGAAGGAGGGAGGGAGAGCAAGATTGAGTTTCCAACCGCAGATTCTATGCAGACGTAGTCTGGTTGGGCGGGAAAGCGGGAAGAGGGAAAGAGTGAGGGAAGGAGGGAGTAAGCGAGAGAGCGCGGAAAAGGGGAGGGAGGACAGGACAGGGACGGCGGACGGAGGGGGAGGAAGAGGGAGAGAGGGCGATGCTCAATAATCACTATCATGATCAACAAGGCCATCATTATCATTACCATCCGCCGCCAATGTTATCATAATGATCTATGTGATCGACCTTGCCACCGTTGTCATCGTGATACCACCACCATCATCACCATCATCACCATCAAAATCCTCATTGTTCCCATTACAACCATCATCACCGCCATCACCATCATCAATACTACCGGCACAATCGCCATTGTCGTCGTTATCGTCGTAATCACCACCATCCACCAATATCAGCATCATCTGCGTTGCCATGGCCGGAGATCATGATGACTACATGCGGCGGCGCGCGATAAGTTTCTCACGCGACGTGGACTTTGCATGATCCAACGGGGTCGCGCGCAATGGTTTTCGGGAGGAGGCGGACGAGGGGGAGGAGGAGGAGCAGGGGGGGAGGAGGAGGAGGAGGAGGAGGAGGAGGAGGAGGAGGAGGAGGAGGAGGAGGAGGAGGAGGAGGAGGAGGAGGAGGAGGAGGAGGAGCAGCCGCACGAGGAGAAAGATGATGAGTAGTGGTGAGTAATGTTGCAATGATGTCACGAGCGATGAGTAGTGATGCAATAATACTCGGGATCTGAATAATTGGCAGATGTATATCAATTCGCTGGCCAAGCCGGCCAGAGGCGCGCTAAGATCTCCGGTAGCACGTTAACAAAATGTCTAGTTCGCGCGCGCGGCGGCCCCCCCAGGACAAGTACCCCGGCCGGTCCGGCTCAGAGAGAAGTGTTCCTTCTGGGCGTGGCTTTCAGGCGCCCCAGAGCGCTCCCAGAGGGCCCCAAGAGTTCCCAAGACGGTCCAGGAGGGCTCCGAGTCGCCGACCGATCGGTCCAAGACGCCCAAGATAGCCTCCAGACGGCCGCAGACGCCCCCAAGACGCCGAAAGAGGCCTCGAAGAAGCGCCTGAGGGCCCCAACAAACAAAAATCGCTCCATTCCCTTCGGAAAACGTCGATTTTTCGCATGCGCGACGTTTCTCATCTTTTCGGCTTCCCCACGCTCCAAGACGGCCCAAGAGGCTCCCAAGACCGCACCAAGACGGCCCAAGAAGCCTCCAAAAGGGCCCCAAGACGGCCCAATATGGTCCCAAGATAGCCCAAGAGGCGCACAAAAAGACCCAAGATGGCCCCAAAACAGCCCCAAGAGAGGCCCAAGATGGGGATCGGGAAACGAAAAGTCCAGCCTTCAGTCCCAAGAGGCCCCCAGGAGGCCCCAGGAGGCCCCCGAAAAAACCCCAAGGGGCCCCCAAGAGGCACCCCAAAAGGTCCCCAAAAGGCTCCCAAAAGGCCCCCAAAGGCCCCAACACGTTCCCCAAGAGGTCTCAAAACTGCCTCCCAGAGGCCCACAAGAGGCCCCAGCACGGCCCCCAAGCGGCGAGGCAATCTGGGCCGGCTGGTAGATGCATATAATCAATATGTAGATATCTGGTATTCACGGGGAAGTACTTGCATGGGGCTTTTTTCATGAAGCGATTGATTGCCATTCATTGGGGCCGCTCAACCCATGGAGCCGCAAGCAAGGTCCGCAAGGACAGGGCCCTGATATTGTCGCTACCAGCGAGGGACAAGATCCTGCCAATCAACGCGTCAACGAAATTACGGGCAACTGATCTGTCCGAAACTGGCTACCTGCCGCACCAGTGTCCGAGATCGCTAGCAGTATACTTTCGCTTCGCTGCGCAATGGCACCACTTGGCATGTGTCGCAGGAGAACCCGCCGATAGCAAAGACGATCTGAGGCTCAATAAGCAACTCCTATTCAACGTTGCGACTCACCACCAGATTCGAACAAAAAACAAAAAAACGACGCGCAATCACATTCGGGTGATTGAATTGGCGTGGCACGTGACAGCAATGGTGGCAGCCTGAGGCGAGCAATACTGCAGATCCGTAGTGGGGGCAATCGCAAAAACAAGGATCAGCGGGAAGCTAGGAGGGAGGAGGGAGCGGAGGGCAGAGAGTAGGTAGGAAGGAGGGAGGGGGGAGGAAGGCAGGATGGAGAGAGGGATGGGATAGGTAAGAGGAAAGATAGCGAGAGAGCTAGGGTGGGAGCGAAGAGGACGAGGCGAAGACAGAAGAAGAGAAGGATCAGGACCGGGAGCAGCAGGAGCAGCAGCAGCAGCACGAGAAGAAGCAGCAGCGGCACCAGGAACGGCAGACCTCCCCGCGCTCCTTCCGCTCCACCATCTTGGACCTCACCTCCTCGGGCATCATGTCCGGGGTCAGCTCCTCAGGACAGGCAGGGAGCCAACGGACCGAGCGGACCCCGCTGCACGGCGGGTGTTCTGGACCGGCGGGCGGGGAGAGGGGGCGCTCTGCTCGCAGCGCGGCCACGACAGTCGAGCTGCCACGATACGAGGAACGCTGAATAAGGAACGAAGCCCAAAGCCTCAAAATGCCCGACGAGCGCAAAAAAAGAAACGACACATCGAAGGACGCAACGAACACCCAGCGGATTGCGACTGAAACCGGGAGGCTATCAGAGACCCTGTAAGAACGGTTTTTTGAAGGCAGATCTGCCTGTAAGAACGGTTTTTTGAAGGCAGATCTGCCTTCAAAAAACCGTTCTTACAGAGTAGACCATTTTTTGAAGGCAGATCTGCCTTCAGAAAACCGTTCTTTTTGAAGGTAAATCTGCCTTCAAAAAACCGTTCTTACTGCGGGATTAGGACGCCCGTGGCCATGGGCCTGCCCGCCTGGAGGCACAGAGGTCGGCGTGGGGATGCTCCGTCACGGGAGGCCTACTCTGTAAGAACGGTTTTTTGAAGGCAGATCTGCCTTCAAAAAATGGTCTACTCTGTAAGAACGGTTTTTTGAAGGCAAATCTGCCTTCAAAAAACCGTTCTTACAGAGTAGACCAGTCTTTCCTCCTTGAAGGCAGATCTGCCTTCAAAAAACCATTCTTACAGAGTAGCCCGGTCAGGCCCACTAAAAACATCCATGCCCGAGGATGCCAACGCCGCCCAATGGGCCACCCCAGCCAGCCGGCCAGCCTGTCTCCTTCCGTTTCCCGTACTTTTCCTTCCGTTTCCCTCCCAATTCCTTCCGTCTCCCTCCCCTTTTCCTTCCGCGCCCCTCCCTTGTCCTTCCATGTCCATCCCTTTTCCTCCCGTTCCACTGCCTTTTCGTTCAATGTTCCTCCCTTTTCTTCCCTTTTCCCCTTTCCGTTTTCGTTACGTGTCGCGCCCTTTCCTTTCCGTTGCCCTACCCTTTCCTTCCGTTGCCTTCTCTTTTCATCCCATGTATGTCCTTTCCCCTCCCTTTACCTTCCGCCCCCCCCCCGCTTCCTTCCGTTTCCCTCCCAATTCCTTCGGTGTCCTTTTCCTTCTCATTTCCTTCCGTTTCCTTCCTTTTTCATTCCGTGTCCTTTTCCCTCCCTTTTCCTTCCGTGACCCTCCTTTTTCCTTCCGTGGCCCTCCCTTCCTTGTACTTCGGTGTCCTGCTCCCTTCCTTGTACTTCGGTGTCCTGATCCCCCTCGTTTCCTTCCTTTTACCTTTCGTGTCCTTCCGTTTCCCATTATTTTCCCTCTCGTTTCCTTCCGTTTCCCTTCATTTTCTCTCTCGATTCCTTCCGCTGCCTTCCCTTTTCCTTCCGTATCATGTTTCCTCTCGTTTCCTTCCGCTTATCTTCCTTGTCCGTCGCGTTTCCTTATGTCTCCTTTTACGGTTCCCCCTCGTTGCCTTGCGATTCACTCCCTTTTCCTTTCGTTTCCCGTCACTTCCGTCTCGTTTCCTTTCGTTGTCCTTCCTTTTCCTCTCGTTTCCTTCCGTTGCCCTTCCTTTTCATTTTCTTCCCGTTTCCTCCCGTTTCCCTCCCCCTTCCTTTTGTGTCCTTTTCCGTGTCGTTTCCCTTTGTCTGTCTTTCCGTTTGTTTATTCTTCCCCGCCGGGTGAGGGGCAAGGGAGGCCTAGGGAATGACTCAACTCCGGAGTTAAGTGATTCTGAGTGCCGGGGAATGCACCAACAATAAACTCATTGAAGTGCAAGGGTAAGTCGTTTGGAGGCTGGTGACAATGAAGACATGCAATATGTTTCACTCCAGAATGAATCATAATTGCCATGCTGCCTTGGGTGCTTTTCCAGCGAGCCCCTACATAACCCAAAGTGCCCTCTATCTCAGCGTCTTGACTGTAACCTCTGGCGGCGCAGAAGTCCACTGCCCCCCAAAAGCTTGGCGCGGGCCAGGATAAGGAGGAACGCTAGGGGGAGTCTGGCTCAAGGGGGAAACGTCGAGCTGGAATCGGCGATACGTCCCCGATAGATCGGCGAAATGACCCCGACTGCGAATCCGCACTTCCTGGGTGGGGTGGGCTATCAGGTCTTAATTCGGCGATTCGTGAGCGATAGGGGGTCGATGCCATCACCCTTGGGCCCATACCCCCCAGCGTTGCCCCTGACAGGAGCAGGAGGACAAGGAGAGGTACGAGAGGGAGCAGCGACGACGACGACGACGACGACGACGACGACGACGGAGGGGACGAGCGTGAGCAGGAGGCGGGAGATACGAGCGGGAACAGGAGGCGGAGGACGACGATGAGGGGACGCGGACGAGAAGGGGTGCAAGCGGCAGAGCAGGAGCAGGAGGCGGAGGACGACGACGAGGGGACGAGGTACAAGCGGGAGCAGGAGGCGGAGGAGCAGGAGGAGCGGGAGGGGTACGAACGGGAGCAGCGAGGCGGAGGACGACGACGAGGGGACGAGGAGGGGGGGGGGCACGGGAGGGGGGGTACCCGGGGGGACAGGGGGGGGCACAAAATAGATCGCGCCGCATCGCCGATACATCGGCGATACATCGGCGACGCATCGGTGATGCCCCCGCGATGCATCGTCGACGTCGGCGATGCATCGGCGACGTCGACGTGAAGCAAGTCGGGCCCCACATCGAGCCGCATCGCCGAGGCACCGGCGATGTGGCGTGATCCTCAGACCCCATCTACTCCGACCGCATCTAGGAGGCCCCGACAAAAATGCATCGATGCCGCTGCTCCGCGGGCCTCTCCTGGGGGTGCGTTCGCGCCAGAATCTCGAAGAGAATCCCGCCATGGCGACGGGGGATCTACGGTCGGCATCTTGAACTAGGGCTCCCAACTTCGCGCTTCGCGCTGCGCGAAGCGCGAAGCGCGAATAACTTCGCGCTCTCGCGCCGCCCTCCCAAAGGGAGAATAGGAGGACGAGGAGGAGGGGGAGAAGGAACGAGGACCGCGAAGCGCGAAGCGCGAATAACTTCGCGCCCTCGGGGGAGCCCTTGTTGAACGAAACCGTGCCGTTCCGCTGGTTTGGGCCCGCCACGCTTCGGCGCGACACGGCATCCACTTCCCCGTCCACAAGCGCCCACGCCCAGAGCTCTTCCGGGCCTCCCGCCCCGCGGGGCAGAAGGCAGAGCGCATCGCCGCTGCCGCCGCCGCGACAGGCTGCACCAGAGCTCCCGATGGTGGCGGTATCGGCATCTCTTCCTCCCCTGGAATCGGAAGGGGGGGCGCGGGACCGCGGGGAGCGGGGAAGGGTGCGGTGCAGGAGGAGGAGGAGGAGGAAGAGGAGGAGGAGGAGGAGGAGGAGGAGGAGGAGGAGGAGGAGGGGGAAGAGGAGGAGGAGGAGGAGGAGGAGGAGGAGGAGGAGGAGGAGGAGGCGAGGGCGGTGCGCTTTCGGCCGGCCGGGCTCCGGGTTCAGGCCCTCGGCGCGGGTCGCCCGGGGAGCCCACGACGGGCGCGGCGCTGCACCCGCCACCCCCTCCCCCGGCTTGCTGGCGGAGCGGGAAGAACTTCGAGATCCTGCATGTTGAGATCCGGCAAATCTCAACTGCTATGCTTCGAGCGCTCGGCAGGATAATACATGAGCCTGGCTCGACCCCAATGAAGGTATACAATTTCCTATTGCACGGGCGCGTCGCTTGGCATGGCTGAGAATAAAAAACACTGGGGGCGGTGAACCCGCGTGGCATTGTTTGGCATTGGTTGGCGGTACTTGCCAGAGAAAACGAAACACAGGGGGCGGGGAAACCGAAGAATCCGGGGAACCCGAGGAACCCGGGGAACCACAGGAACCCGATGACCCCGGGGAACCCAGGGAACCTGGGGAACCCGAAAAACCAGAGGAACCCAGGGAACCCGAAGAACCCGAGGAACCCAAAGAACCCGTGGAACCCGGGAACCCGACGAACCCAGGGAACCCGAAGAACTCGGGGACCATCCGAGGAACGGGCAGGGTAGCCCCTGGAGGCGCCAACCGTATAAGAACTCCGCACGCAAGTCTCACTGCGGAAATAGGAACCCTGCCTTGGCGAAGTGCGAGCACAAATTGAAGCGCCGCTGCCAGCGCGGTCACAGAAGGCGCCAGAAAAACATGATCTGGGACCAGATGAGCCCAGCGCGACACCAATTAGAAGGTATTGCTTGGCATTGCTTGGCATTGCTGGGCGTTTCTTGGCAGTGCCTGGAATTGCATGGCATCGGTAGGCAGTGCTCGGAATTGCTCGGCATTGCTTGGATCGGGCATAATAAGAATACGAAGCGCAGGGGGCGGGGGGCCCAGGGGGCCTGGAGAACCGGGAAACCTAGAGGGAACCCGAGAAACCCGGGGAAACCGGCCCCCCCCGTGATATTCCAAAGTCGATCTATAGCGCGGAGCCGAATTATCATGCGAGGGCATTACCTTTTCCTGGGTCCAAATATCTTCTCTGGCGCGGATAATAATTCGCCCCGCCATGTTGGGCTCCAGCGCGACTAGTCGCGCATCCCCAACTGGGGGGCCAAAATCTCTGGGTCGACAGTAAAGAATGACAGCGGTAGACGCAGAAGCGCGCATTCAAAGCAAACGCAATACTGGCTGGCCGTAGAACTTGGAGACGCACGCCCCCAGCAACGCCCGCGCTGACCTCCTTTGGCCCAATCTTCGACCAAACGCAGCTACAGACCCACTGAAATCCTCGCCCCTATAGTTCCACTGCTTTGCTGACTCACCGCCGCCCATGCACCGCTCCAAAACATGCATTTTCGGTTTGCCATTGAAATGAACGGGATGGGCGTCGCGCAGAGCGGCCGCTTGCGCGGCGAACTTCATGTTCGCGAAGGGTATTCACGGCAAACGGGCGATGGTTTGCGATCGCCTTGCCATGCTCATTTCCCCTTTCCATCGCTGAACGAATGGGCGATGATACGGCTGCCCGCTGGTCGGCGCCGCTCCCCCGATCAAGGAAAGCTTCCGCGATCTCCGCTCCTCGTGATCCGCGCGCCTGCGCGCCCCCGAGCTGCGCCTCATATTCGCCGACTCTGCGTTCTTCTCCTTGCCGATGCCCCGCGACAATTTCGGTGAGCGGCCGGTCTCCTCACCTGGCGGCCGCCTGTTGCATGGGGGCCGTCAAATGACGGCGCAGCGTCAGCACGCGGGCTTTCTGGGCTGTTACAACTACACATCTGCGCGCAACGAGATGGCACGCCAAGCCGTCGACGATATCAGCCGCCACTCCAAGGTCAACGACGCGCGGCCAATCGAATGTCAGCAACGTCTCGCCCGCATACGGAACGTGGAAAAGAGGGGGCACTTGCCCGCCCGAAGCGGGGATCTCTGCGCTGCCATCTGCCCGCGTGCGTCGGCGGCTTCTCCGCGGCGCGCCTCTCCCAGCCTGCGTCTTCACCGTCAGAGAGGCAGGGCAGCCCCTCTGCATCTCCGCCCCCCTCCCCCCCTTCCCCCTCCCTCCCAGCGACCTCCCTCTTCCTCCTCCCCGCGCGCCTCCTCCTGGTCGCCCTCTTCCATGCCCCCTGACAGGGGCAGCGAGGCCGCGGCGCACGCCCCTCGCACGGTTTCCTTCCCCGGGGCCTTAGCCGTCTACGCGCGGCGCGAGGGGCGCGCGTCGTCGCCCCCCTCGCGGAGGGGCCAGCGCGCGCATCTCCCGGCGAGGGCCCGCGCGACGGCGGCCGCCCCTGCGGGGGAGGGCTCGGGCGGGGGCCCCCATCGCTGAGGGGCGCCCCCGGGGCGAGGGGGCGCCGCCCAGCCCTCGACAGTGCGCTTTGCCAAAGGACGCGGCGACGGCAATGGCGACGGCGATGGAGATGGCGAGGGCGAGGATGGGTGCGAACATGCACTGTTGCGTTGAACCCAAGCGTTGTTCACGCGGGCGCCCAACCCCAGCCTTCGCCGCCTCCTCGGCGCCAGCCGCGCATCCGATTGGCAGGGCGCTCTTGAGCCCCTCGCCGATCTCCCCGAGCGTCTTCATCAAAGATGTCGCGGCGCCTCCTCCCGCCGAAACACACCATCCGCTTCTTCTCGCCGCGCGTCCACTTCAACCCGATCACGCGGCCCCTCTCGCAGCACGTCGCGCCGCGCTCTCGGTCGCGGCGGACGGAGGGGCGGGGCGGCTTCGGCGGGATCTCCTGCGCCCACGGATTCACGTGGCCTTTCCTGCCCCCCCCTCGTCGTCCGCGCCATCCTCCACCTTCGGCTTCTTCTCGGCGGCCGCTGCTTCTCATCTATTTCGCAGACGCAGGCTTCTCTGCCGCGCGTGACCCCCCCCACACCCCTTGCGCGCCATCGCTCGGGCCCTCGCGGCTAGCCATGTTTCCTCTGCTGCCAGGTGGGCGCTGGGCTGCTGCGTCTTCTCCGCCCTGCCGTCGGGAAACGCTGCGCTCGCGAAGCCATCGTCTCCCATGGCAAACTGCCCCCGCTGGCCCCCTGACCGCAAACGTCGTCGCCGCGCGCGTCGGCCCGGAGCTGAAATCGCAGAACGCGGCGCTGGGTCCAGCAATTACCCCTTCCAGCAAAAACTCAAATATACTGTCGCGATCACGCAAAGAAACAAAACGTAAAACGGTTGCACCCGACGCCGCTTGCCCCGCCACCCCCGCCCCCCCCGAATTTCCGCCCACCCCCTCCTCCGCCCTCCTGCCCGACCCCGCCCCTGCGCGCGATCTCCGTCGCGGTCGCCGGCCTCGCTCTCCATCGCCTCCTGCGACGAGAGCGCCGCCATCGGGCTCGCGGCAACCTGCCTCCGCTTCCTCTGCGGCCTCGGAGGCGAGCGGGCGCCGAAAGCGTTCGCGGTGACATCGCGCCCGCTGCCTCCGCCGGCGCCAGGCGACGCGGCGACCGCGGCAGATCTGGGAAGCGCCGCCGGCATGTCCGTCGCGGTCACATCGCGGAGCTGCCGTCGATATCGTCGCGATTGTCCTTCGACGCCCCTGCGCTTGGACTAGCCCTGCCAAGCTTCGACCCCGTCGCGCCCCCTAGCATCTTTGCGCGCGCCTCCACCATGGCCTGCGCCTTGGCGATGCAGAACTTGCCGCGCACATGGCTGAACGCATTGGGCGCCTCATGGCAGAAGCGCCGACGTTCCTCCTGGCGAATCTCCCATCTGACGCGCGCGGTGCGTTGCGCAAGCGGCAACACACATGCTATTATGTATGAAGTCATCGACGCCCCCTGGCACGTGGCATTGCTCGATCAGCTGAATTACTGCTTCACCTGTGTACTCAGCTGCAGATGCGCGCGCCTTCGCCTCTCCGTGGCCGTTGGCCACACTGCCGCGGACCTCCGCGCGGGAGGCGCGTGAAGGCGCGACCCCTTGCTCGAGCCAATGCCAGCGCAGCTGCGGGGTACTGTTGCATACACGCGCAATGAAAAAGCAACTCCTCGCTCAGGGGATCCATGACGACGACAAGAACGACTAGGTCAAAATCCATGGGTTGTACTTTTCTGTAACCCAAAGAAAATGCTGGATCGCACAATTTTTCGACTCCGCTTTTTACATCGACATTGGAATCTCAAGGCCAGGGGCCCCGTGAAGCACGAGAAACCCGGGGAACCCAGGGCACCCGGGAACCCGTGGAACCCGAAGAACCCGAAGAACCCCCGAGAAACGGGCAACGCAACATTAGGAGGCGCTGGGGGCGGGGAGCCCGAGGAACCCAGGGAACCTCCGAGCAACGGGCAAGCTAACACTCCGAGGCGCCAACCTTTGACCAAGTACAAGCCCTTTAGGCAAGCCGAATTCGGAAACAAATGCCTTGCGGAAGGCTCAGTCGATGAGAGAGGGGGGCACAGAAACAATAGACGAAACCGCAATCGCTACCATCATGGAGGAAGCCAGACGGAGGGAATTAAATACACGGGCGAAGTAAATCAATCCACGCGAAGCGCGCATGCTTAGCGTTGGACGCTGTCCCCTGAAAAGGCGATGGCCTTTGGGTAAGTCAAAACGGTGTAAGAGCATGAGGCAGACGCAGATGCGTTTGTTTATGTTTTAAAACATAAAACTTGGGCAGTGTAGGCGTGTTCTGTTTGCAGGGTGGCATGGTGTAACTGGCGACGTGGAGGATGAACTGATGGACCTGAGGAAAATTAAACCATGCGAGGTGCGAGTGGTGCCTTGAATGCGGTGGCCCACAATGGGGCATCTAGCCCTCAACTCACACACCACACAAGTAGCCAAACCTCCCCACACGGATCGTCCACCACCCATTCCCCAACACATCTGGCCTTGAAACTGTAGCGGGAGTGGTGACAGCGAGCAAATAGAGAACAACGCATGCGTCCCAAGTTTGGTAAAATCGTTGACGGAGTAGAGAGAACGCAGCTGTATGGCCACGGGTACCAGGAGGTCCTCGGGGTACGAGGAGGGCTCTTGCACACAGACTGTTGGGAGGGGACGTGTTAAAGCGAGGGGTGCGTACATGTGTCCCCTCCCAACCACCACGTCAAGTCACCACTCCCCCAATCCACTTTCAGTCTGCTAGGGCCATATCCGCGCAGGTGTGAAGGGGACCGATGATGTAAAGCGTACTCAAGATCCTCTTCCTCCTCCTTCTCTTGGCGGCCCTCGGCATCGTCCCCCATCTTTGGGCGGGAGGAGGACCAGCTAGCAACAGCAGGAGCAAGAGGGACAGGAACAGGAACAGGAACGGGATACAGCAGAAGAAAAAAACATATGATGATAATAACAATGGGAAGGAAGACGCATGAACAGCAACAACAACAGCAACAGCAACAACAACAACGAAACTAACAACGAACATAGACATAGCAAGAACAACAACACCAACAACGGCAACACCAATACAACCAACAACAATAACAACGACACCAACAACAGCAACACACAATGCAAATACTGAACATATAAGTGTTACATGAAAACTAAAAAAAGAAAATGTTAGCCCTATGGCCCTGAAAATCACAGGGTGGGGATACAAACGGTGGGGTTTCGGGGGGGAGATGGATAATCAATTTTCCCCCGGCCACTCGTAGGTACGAACATATGTGAGTATGGACTTTACATGTCGTTGCCGCCCGTTCGTGACTTTTGAAAGCGGAAATGGCGAAAATCCCAAACCGTACCACACATTCGTTAGGAAAGCTCGACTGGTGAGAATGCAAGAGCCCTGCCGCGCATTCGTGGGAATGTTGATACGCAACATAAGAGGATCGCAACTTCGATTCGTACTTTCCCCGGCGATAATGAAGTTCGACCTCGCCGCCCCCTTCCCCCGACCAAGCCTGTCTTGGCCCCGGATACTCAGCTCTCAGGGTTTTATGGGGGCATGCTTAATTATACGGGCTGCCCGGTTAGCTGTCCCCCCCTCCTCCTCCCGCACTCGTCCTCTTCATCCTCATCTCCTTGGCCACCAATCACCACCAAAATCATCATCATCATGCTGTTCCTCCTCGTCCTGCCCCCAGAAGGAAAAAACGGTCCAACAGCAAAAACACTGAGCACGTCCGAGTATACACACACAGAATACACACACACACACACACACACACGCACACGCACATGAACCTGCACCTGCACACGCACACCTACACCTACACACACACACACCTTTGCGTCGGCGGCTGGGCAGAGGTCGACTGCTCCGGCGGAAGGGACACGCCGCGTGCAAACTAAGGCCGCGATGCTAGGGAGGAGGAGGAGCCCCGGCGCGACGGAGGGAGAGGAAGCCCAGAGCTACCGGCGGCGGCAGGGGGCAGCGCCGCTCACACACACGCACACACACACACTCACACACGCACACACACACACACACACACACCCGCACACACGCACACACACACACACACGCACGCACACACACACACACACACACACACACACACACACACACACACACACACACACACACACAAACACCAGAAAACGTACGACAACCTCCTCCCCGTTCCCCCCCTCCCTCTCTCTTCTACGCCCGCCTCCTCCACCATCCCCTTCTGCGTCCTCCCCTCATGCGTCCTCCCCCTCCCCCATTCCCTCTGCGCCCTCCCCTCTGCGCGCCTCCCCCCCTCCTCCACCATCCCCCTTGCCCCCCCCCCCCCCGGCGGAAGAGGAGGACCAAGGAGGACCAGGAGGAGGCCCAGCAGGAGGCCCAGGAGGAGGACTGGGAGGAGGAGGAGGAGGAGGAGGAGGAGGAGGAGGAGGAGGAGGAGGACGAAAAGGACGACGAGGAGGACGAGGAGGAGGAGGAGGAGGAGGAGGAGGAGGAGGAGTGCGGGCAGCCTGAGGCGAACGAGCCTCCTGAAGCTCAGCCGCCGTGCGCTAGGCGGAAAGTCTGGCTAGCGCACGACGAGAACGTGGGCAGCAGCCAGCAGTGCGTTCGGCTGGCTGGCCGTGGCCGTTCTGCACTTGTTGAAAAGATGGAGCGCAAGCACGATGCGTCGGATGGTGTCATGGAGCGACAACTCGCTCGGCGCAGGCGGGCAAGCTGCTGGGGGACCCAGCCCCCAGCGAGTCAATGTACTGAGGAGGAGTGGAGGGTCGGGGGACCAGAAGAGGCTCAAGAGGCGAGGACCGAAGAGGTAGTGGGGGAATGAATCTGGCTGCTCGCGGCAGCCGAACACGCAGCAGCGGGGCACGAGCACACGCATGCGAGCGGTGGTCGTCCACCCGCCAGCCAGGGTCTTGAACGTCGCCCAGTGCCAGCTCGTGCGAACGCTGCTCAGTGCACCAGTCAACGCTCGGCCAGAAGTGCAGGTTCAATCTGTAGGCCCCACGCGCCGACCCGCTCTGTGAGGGTGACGGCGAAGGCCGAGGCGAATGCAGCCTTGCGCAGAAAGGCTGCAAAGGCACGCTGGACATGGTGGTGGCGCGGCGGAGTAGTTGCCATGGCCACAATCCTTGTCCGCCAGCGCTGCGCGGTGAGCTTCTTGCATCATGACTGGTGTGAATGGAGGGGTGCGCTGCGCGTCTCGCAGCGGGGCATAGAACTGCACAGTGGCGCGCGGTTGCTCCGAGAAGCTGGGAGACCACAATCCGTCCAACCAGCGATGGAAAGAATCAACTGCACTCTCCTCCCATGTCGTGTCGCGGAGGTGAGTTCAGTCGGGTTCCCATAGCTCCGCCAAAGTGTGAGACGCAGAACGGGTGGCAGCTGCGACAGACATGGCCTGCTGCGACCGAATCACTGGTGGCGGCGACCCAGTCCGCCATCGCGAGGAGGTCTACCTTGCGGAACGTGTTCGGCGTCAAACCTACCATCTTGTGACACATGTAATGCTCGCGATGTACAATGGATGCGGGGACCGGAAAAACTGTCTCATATTGCTTAAAGTAGAAAGCACTGATGTTTTGTAGAGGCGAACAGTGGCGTCGCCTCCAAAGTGCACATGCTGAGGCGAATGAGCGCTATGCCACCATGTCTGCCCAGGAGCGTGCCATTGGTCGGCCAGGGAGGCCGACGGGCCGAGGGAAGATCCCGAGGTATTTGTCACCCCCCTCGATCGAAAACGAGCGCAAGGAGGGCGCGCACGCGGAAAGCAGGTCCTGGGTACGGGCAATGGTAGCAGGCGACGCTGCTGCCCAAAGAGGGACAGCTGCACACTTGCGAGGCTCACGCGACAAGAGTGCGAGGCGTGCGGCGACATCAAAGGCCTCAGTCACTTTGCCGATCACTCCGATGGATTCGCACATGATGCCCAGGTCGTCCGCACATGCGCCTTGGTAGTTCGTCGAGGTAGCGTCCAGATTGTCCAGGTCAATGGCGGCGGCGATGTGGCGGATCAGCGGGTCCATCGCAATCGCCCATGCGGACACGCTCGCTGGGCAGCGGAGGAGGAGGAGGAGGAGGAGGAGGAGGAGGGGGAGGAGTGGGAGGAGGAGGAGGAGGAGGAGGAGGAGGAGGAGGATCAGGAGATGGAGGATCAGGGGAGGAGGAGGAGGATCAGGAGGAAGAGGGGGAGGAGGGGAAGGAGGAGTAGGAGGAGGAGGAGGAGGAGGAGTTTGAACGTTTTCGGCCCCACCAAAGGGTTGCAGAGGTCCCCTGGGAGGTTCCGGAGGCCTCGAGGGCGGGGCGTTTCGCCTGAGACTCCCCCACCACTTATGACCCTCAAGCCTAAAAAGTGACAAAAGCTTCACAGATGGAGGGCGGGTCGTTTTCAAAATGTAGCTTTCGACTTAGCGCCGGACATATTCGTTTTAAGCATTTGCACGAGCTTCGCGGATTGAGGGCGGATCGTTTTCAAAATGTGGCTCTCGCCTAAACGCCGCGCACACTCGTGTTAAACGTTCGCAAGAGCTTCAAGGATTGAGGAGGGGTCGTTTTCAAAATGTGGCTCTCGCCTTAGCGCCGCGCACATTCGTTTGTAAAATGTTGCACGAGCTTCACGGATTGAGGGCGGCTCCTTTTCGCCTTAGCGCCGCGCACATTCGGTTGTAAAATGTTGAACGAGCTTCACGCATTGAGGGCGGTTCCTTTCAAAAGGTGGCTCTAGCCTTGGCGGCGCGCACATTCTTTTCTAAAATGTGCAAAGGTGTCACGGATTCCCATGGCCAGCGTACCAGAGACCGTGTTTCAGAAAGATTTAGCAGATGATGGAGCAACAGTTACGTTGGTTCGCGGTGTTGAAGTCCCAGGAGTGGCGTTCTGGCACGATTCAGGATCATCAAGACGCAACAGCCTGGCTGATCCGTGGCGTTGGAATCACGAGAACAAGGTTTTAGCATGCTTCAGGGTCTTGGAACGGTTGCCTCCCAACGAGGCAGTTCCCCCAGTGGAATCGAACCGCTGCGGGGTCCTAGGAAGAGGGGAGCTTGCAGGGAGGGTGCACTCCAACATACTTGATGACCCTTGGGCTTACGCTGGTCTTCGTGCTCCTCCTCCTCCTCCTCCTTATCCCCCCTCTCCACCATCCTGCTGACGCTCCTCCTCCTCCTCCTCCTCCTCCTCCTCTTCCTCCTCCTCCTACTCCTCCTACTCCTCCTCCTATTCCTTTCTCCTTCTCCTCTTCCTCCTCCCTCTTCCCTCCTCCCTCCTCCTCCATCCTCCCTCCTCCTCCTCGTCCTCCTCCTCCCTTTTTCCTCCTCCTCCTCCTCCTCCTCCTCCTCCTCCTCTCCTCCTCCCTCCTCCTCCCTCCCCCATTCCCCTTCCCCCATTCCTCCCTCCTCCTCCTCCTCCTCCTCCTCCTCCTCCTCCTCCTCCTCCTCCTCCTCCTCCTCCTCCTCCTCCTCCTCCTCCTCCCCCCTCCCCACCCTCCTCGCCCTCCGCGTTCTCGATGGAGAGCGGGGGCCACAGTGTTGGGGGGGGGGACAGGCAGGCGCAGCGCCCCGCCCGCGCCAGCTCTCCGGCGGCCCCGGGCCTGGCCAGCGCAGAGGCTGCGGGGCATGCCTGCGGGGGGCTCGCAGGTCCGTGGACGCTGTCGCCGAGGTCGGGGTCGTCCTCCTCCTCCTCCTCCTCCTCCTCCTCCTCCTCCTCCTCCACCTCCTCCTACTCCCTCGTCCTCCTGGAAGGAGCCGTGTGTCGCAGGAGAGACCAGAGTTGTAGGCGGGGGCAGGGAAGGGGGAGAGGCCAGGAGGAGGAGGAGGAGGAGGAGGAGGAGGAGGAGGAGGAGGAAAGAGAGTGGGAGAGGAGGAGGAAGGAGCGAGAATAGGCACTTATGTACAATTTGGTTCAAGACTTGGGCCCCCCATTGAGAAAGCCCACAGGGTAGGTCTGAACGAATTGGGGGACGCCCGAAGCAAGGCCCAAAATCGGCCAGGGTAAGAATCCACGGACATGTCCAGACAAGAGCCAGCTGAGGGGTCTCGCTCCCATTCCTCCGGGCTGCAACGCTCTTCTGGTCCGCCGACTGGGTGTATTTACCCTCCGTCCTCACCATAATGCTCCTCTGAGCGATCCAACGGATTCTGGGCTCGTCAGGGGCGGCACTCCGAGCGGGAAGCGAGCGTCTCAAAGCAGTGGCCAACCGAGTCGTGAAGGGCGTGCAGGCACAGCGGCGGGCGGGCGACCCTTGGAGGGGGGGCACGGCGTGGCCCGACGGCCCCCCTCAGTGGCATCAGGACTCACAGCGCGGAGGGAGCGGGGCTCGGATGCCACCACTACTGAATTGGGGTGGAATTGGGGTGGGGCTCGCTATCCCCCGCAGAGAGACAGTCAACGCAAGAGGCGCCAAAGCCCCCGCATGCGAGGCCAAAGCCCAGGTGCCCACAACCCAGCTTGCAGGACGATCGAGCAGTGGACCGAAGCCCCAGCATGCGGGGCCCAGTTATGAGGGGGCACAGCCCATACACGCGGTGACATCGCATGGGTCGAAGTCTCAGCATACAGGGTGAACGCGTGAGGTGCCAACGCCCCGGCATGAGCATGGCAACGCGCGAGGGGCTACGGACCCGCAGGAGTATGCCGGCGCATGAACGCCCAAAGCCGCAGCACGAGGTGGCCGTGGCGGCGCTGGGGCGGTCTCACCTCGGGCAGGCGACACTCCAACCTGCCATAACCTGCGACATGAGCAGGGGGCACGACAGGCTCCTGCCACGATGCCTGGGAAGCCTTCACGGGCACGCCTCGTACACATCGCACGGGATTAAGGAGCGACTGAGCCTGATCAAGCCAGATCGAGCTGCGCGCGGGAACACTTCCTCGACGATGGGACTGTTTGCGGAGGCGAAGGCAGGGCGCCTCCAGGGTGCCAGATCTGGCCGAAATCGGTGCGCTCCCCCGAAACGCCGACCACGGCCCCCCCCCAACATGGTGGAGATCGACCAGAAGTTCGGCCAGCGCCCAGCTGGCCCCAGGACGCCCCAGGGCCATCTCCCCGCCCCGATTGGCCCCGAGGATGTGCCAGGGCCAATGACGCTACGGAGCTCGTCTTCAAGGATGGGGCCGTGTTCGGTTGGCCATCCACCCTGGGCAAAACGGCTCCACCGCTACACCCCCAGCACTGCAATCTCAACACAGGCCTCAGTGCTCGACAGCACCGCCACCGCTCCCGCGGCGGAGAAGCTAGCCACCCCTTTGAGGAGACGGACGCCGGCGTCTCCAAGTTCTGCAGAACGGCACACGCGACCTGGCCGTCTGCTGCATAGTAGCCACATGCGGTAGGATATCTTGCTATAAGAAATCTACGGGCATGCTTGTCGTCGACGATTAGCCTTGCTGACACACGCCAGGGCTTCTGCAAGCCCCAAGAGACATTGGGAGATAAGAAACTTCCGTGGAGCACCTGCTGGTAGGCCGGTCTCTAACTGTATGCCGCCAACGACGGTGCTGAGGCAGCCCGCTCTCTGCATGTCAGCACCTGCCCAAGTGCACAGGTAGAGGCCTCCCAAATGGGGTCCGAATAGATGGGGTCGCAGGATCGCGCCGCATCGCCGATGCATCGGCAATGCATCACCGATGCATCGGCGACGTCGGCGATGCAGCGGCGACGCGTGCGCGGAGAAACTCGGGCCCCACATCGAGCCGCATCGCGATGCGGCGCGATCCTCCGACCCCATCGACTCCGACCCCATCTGGTGGGAGGCCTAGAACAGGCGCGCAGGGGTCCCCAGCGTGCAGCAGGCGGGCGCGGCTCCAGCACGGAGGGTGGCCCGGCTGGCAGGGCGCACCGCAGTGCGTTGTGGGGCACACGGCGCCCAAACCTTCGACGACTCGACTTTTTCAGCTAACGCAGGAGTGACCCTGGGTACGAGTGACCTTTGGTGCGCGGTTTTTGGGGGGGGCCGCGACTGGGCCAAACACAAGCGCGCAAAACGCCACTATCGCATCGCGGTCGGCGCACGGGGGACTCCACATGGGCCCGCACGCGAGGTGACTCCGGCGAAGGTTCACTATTTGCGTCTCGCCGAGTTGTCTTCGAATCGCTGCCCCCCCCCGCATCTTGGCCCCCCTCCCCAGGCTCGAGGAGGCCAGGGTCGCTGCCGAAGCCGCGGCGGCTGCGTCCTGCAGGCCGAGGGCGAGGGGGGGGAGGCCGTGCCCACTGTCCGTGCGCCTGCACGGCGCTGCCGCTGGAGGCTGCCGGCGCTGCGCGGTCGACGATCCACCTGCTCGCACACTCCTGGAGGCCTGGAAATGGGCGTCAACACCAACACAAGGGGTTTGCCTCCACAGGGGGAAGATGATCCTAGGTTTCGGCGTTGGTGGTAGTATTTCGGTCACCTTGGAAGCCAGAACATGACCACCATCGCCGAGATCGGGGTCTTCTTTCCCTCGGTGGAGGCACACCGCCGATATTGGTGTTGGTGTCAACCTCTAGGCCCGCGACACTTGCGCGGAGGTCAACGCACGAGGGTCCCAAGCGAAAGCATGCTGGGTCACAAAATGAGGGACCAACACCCCAGCATGTTAGCGCGACGGGCCAACATCCAGACATGAGGAGCCAACGCGTCAACGACTGATCTCGGCCAGGTCTGCACCACATCTTGGATGTGGTGCGTCCATACGGCGTGTCTAATGAACAGATGAAGGCTGTTAGACACGTTCCAGTGCAAGGGAGGAGGGAAAGGGGAGGGAAAGGGAGGAAAGAGGGGCAGAGGGGAGCATCCCTCTGGACTGCTACAGCAGGGACTTTGCTGCCGCGCGTAGAACATGCAAATTCAACCTTGCCTGCGTCGTAGAACTTCACACGATGCACACACTCGCCCATGGAAGCTGCGGCAGCCGCACACGCGCATCAATCAAGCCAGCCGCGGCCCAGGCAACGCGCCGACGAGCTTCCCGAGCTGCTGCGGCCGGGGCATCCGAAGACTTCGCGCGCCCATCAGACGGCGCCCGCCGCCTGCTCGCCAGCGCTCCGACCACCCAGCTCGCCAGCGCGGAGGCGCCCTACCCAGGGCGCGATGTGTCGCCGTCCAGGATACCCTCAGGGCGCTGGGGCTCGAGTCCTCCAGTGAGGCCCCAATGGAGCCCCCTAACACCATCGTCTACGAGGGTCATGTGGTGCAGGCGTATGGCCGCTACCTTATTTGCCGCCGCTGTGCGGCGCACTGCCTTGTGGAAGCGCCGAACTGGCGGAAGCTCCTCGCCCCGTGCTCTGGCGCTGCGTCTTCGGGCCAGGACTGGTTCAGGGACGAGGTGCTGGCTGGACGTAAGCCGCGCCCACCGCCCGCTCCCGCGTAGGGCCGTCGCCTGGCGTCGGCACTGCGCAGGAATAGGCGTTGGGTGCGGCTTTGCGCGCCCGTGCGCGCTTTTAGTGGACCTGCCTGCACCCCTTGAGGCACGGCCTCCTTTTGGTCTTTTCGGCTAGCTTCCGTCCGCGGATGCTAGACCTTGGTTGCCCCTTGCCCCGTCCTAGGGATCACCGCTGGCACACGAGTGCCCACCGGATGCCAGCCCGGGAGCCCGAGCGGGGGCAGCTTTTTTTTCATTAACAGCATACACCCGAAGAACTCCCACGATGAGTGACCTCTCACGGCAGTTGTCAGCACCGGCCATTGCCAGCACCTGAGCGCACACCCTATGCTAAGTGAAATGCCAGGCGCAGCCGTGCACATCCATACGCACATAAGGAGGCCCCCTGTACAGAGGCACGGCGTCGGCTCGTATTCGCAGCACGAGACTACACAGAGGCCAGCGAGACGCGCGGACAGCAGCAGCAAGCGCAGGGGCAGCTTCTGCTGGCAGGGCGAGCCCTCGAGCGCCCACGGCGCCGGGGCTCGACGCCAGGGCGGGGCGGGGGGGATCGGCGCACGGGGGGCCGAGGCCCCCGCGTACGCGCGGACCAGGCCCAGCCCGAGGGGTCACCGCACGAGACGGCAGAGCACCAGCGGGAGCGTGTCAATGCACGAATGTGTCAGTGATAGGGGGCCACATGCGAACCCCCCCCCCCTACCCGCCCCCCTCAGAAATCGTGGGGGGTAGGGGTAGGGTTCGCATGTGGCCCCCTAAGTGAGTATGACTGCGCGCGAGGGGACAATTCGCAAGAGAGCGGCGGAAGCGTCTGCATCATGAGGGGCTGGAGCCCCGACTGGAGCCCCGTGCTTGCAGAGGGGTCAAGGTCGATCAAGTCTAATCGGACGGCTGAGGGTTACATGCGAACTCCTGGAAGCCGGAAGTATCTGCTTCTCTGCCCCGAAAGCCTGTCACGTGTTGCGGAACAGAGGTCCAAGAGCACTACGTAACCCGAGTCGCTCGCGCTAAAGACCGACCGCTGTTGCACAAGTGGCGTGTGCAAGTCCACTTGGAGGGGGTCATGGGAATGCGGCGTTCCTCCACGAGGGGTATGCATACTGGGTCCGATCGAATCGCTCTCTGCCTCTGTGTCCCAAAACGTCGATTCGGCGTCTCAGCACAAAGGCCTTGAGAAAACTAGAACCCAATCGCTCGCGTTGAAGACTACCGTGCCTGTACGATAGGGTCATAGTCGATCCAGTCCGATGGTCCCGCTGAGAATTGTGAGCTCCTCAAATCCGTGGCTCTCGGTCTTGAAGTGTCCCAAGCGCCTATCCCGCGTGCGGAGCACGGGCTTGGGAGCACTGGCCTCTGACGGCGCCGAACGAACACGTGCGGCGTCGGCCCATCCCGTGCGCGGACATGCACGAGCAGACCGAATGAAGCGTGTCGCCCCCACACCACCTCCCTGTACCTCGCGTTTGGCGCGCTCGTCGCGCCGTCCTTCAAGGCTGCCCCGTGCGCCCCCCAACCTCGCAGACTGGCGGGGTCATCGGCCTGGAGCGAGGAAAGGCCAGGAGGGAGAGAAGCGAGGAAAGGCCAGGAGGGAGAGGAGCGAGGAAGGAGTAAGCATGAGGGGGGAAGGAAGTGGAAGGAGAGAGGAGGCGGCAGGAAGCGGAGGGAGGGAGCCGCGCAACGTCTCTGCGCGCTCACGCTGCAAAACATGCCCGACGGGTGCCTGCAATGTGCCCCACCGGCGGCAGCTGGTCCATCCGCTCCGCGCAGCGCCCCGCGCCGAGGATGTCCTCCTCGCAGAGCTCCTCGGTGGGAGGGGAACCCGCTCGCCTCGGTGGGCGGAGGAGGGAATCCCTCCTCCACCCACCTGGGATCACGGATCACGGGAAGCCAGGAGGCAGCCTCTGGGAGGCCTTCGCGGGAACAGCTGCGGGCAACTGAGACCGATCAGGGGGCCATCAAGCCAGATCTGGGCAAACGAAGCGGGGTATCCGGCGAATGGCCCAACCATCTGCGGGCGCGAGTGCCGCAAGCCAGGTGGGACGAAAGAGGGGCAGGCCCCTCGGGGGACACGAAGCGTGCGAGGGGTGTGCCGAAATGGGCGCGGCGCCGGCATGCGGACCCTGCCGCCAGGACCCTCGGTGAAGCCCCCTTATGAGGCCACGAAGCGCGTGAGAGGTGTGCCGAACTGGGCGCGGGGCCGCCATGCGGAAACCCTGCTCACGGGGCCTTCGGCGGAGGGGCCGCGCGAACTGTGTGAGGGGCGCGCCGAACTGGGCGCGGGGCCGTCGTGCGGACCCTGCCGCTGGGGCCGTCGGTGAAGCCCCCGTATGGAGGCACGAAAAGTGTAGTGGGCGTGCCAGGCTGGTTGCGCGGAAGGCCGGAGGGAAGAGAAGGGGGAGGAGTGGCGAGGAGGAGGGAGGACGCGGGGCACTGTCTCTCCAAAACGGGGGCCCAACGCCACAGGACGTCTGGGGATGAAACCGATTTGAGCGGGATTAGGCTGGATCTCAGACGGGATGATGCCCTGGTCTTCGTTCGCGACAAAACCAGCGCAGACACTGGATGCAACCTTCCAGCAGATACATCCGAAAGGGAGGGCCAGAAGAACGAGGCTCCTCTGCGCTCTGGACAGTCCGCTGGCCCCCAGAGGCCTCCGGAGACCTCCGCGGAGACCTCCGTATGGGTGCCCAGGCAGAAGAGCAGCGGCAGCAGGCGACGAGGCGCAGGATCGGCATCAGGAGCAGCATCGGGGGCAGGAGCAGGAGGAGCCTCGGAGCATGAACAGGTCACAGGAAGGTGTAGGCGGCAGAGGACGATCCAGTCGACTGTCTCGACAGCTTCGGCTTCCCTGCGGATAGTTGGAATTAGGAGCAGAGGGGAGATGGGGAAGTGGTGCAGGGCGCCCACCGGCGCAACCAGCTACGATCGCTTAGGGAGATATCATAATACAGCAGAAAAAAACAAAAAACACAACATGCGCTTGATGACTCGTGCCAGCAGGTGGGCGTCGGGGGACGCTCGTGGGCAGCCCCACACCCCTGATGGGGAGATCCCCCTCGGTCCTGAAACACCTGCTTCGTCCGCTGTTTCTTGCGGTCCTTGGCGACCTTCAGGCCTTCCTGGATCTGCTTCAGGAGCCTTTCGGAAGCGGTGTTGCAGGGCTCGACCCGCACCAGGGTGCGCACGACCCGGTGCGCCTCGGCCAGCTTCCGCATGCGCTGCAGGGCCACTGCTCTGCGATAGAGCGCCTTGACGTTGCGAGGATCCGCAGCCAGCACTTCGCCACAGAGATCCGCTGCGAGTTGCCAAGCCTTCACATGCAGGCAACACTGCGCCGCGTTGAGTTTGCACGTCCTTACCAGGATAGCGGTACGTGACGATGGGCAAGTCAGGCAAGAGAGCCTTTCTGCGAGGTCGGCGTACTGTGCCAAAGCCAACAAGTGGCGCTTCTGGGTGAAGAGTTGGTCAGCCACCTCTGGGACAGTCGAAGCGATGCACTTCACCCCCCCCCTGCCTCCCGTCCCCTCCAGGGCCAGTGGTGGTGCATAGACTCGAGCGGAACCTCTGGGACAGTCAGAGCGATGCACTTCACCAACCCTGCCTCCCGTCCCCTCTCGGGCCAGTGGTGGTGCATAACACTCGCGCGGACTGGACGCCTAGAGAACCTTGCCCCCTCCGCACGGGCAGCCGTGCTCACGAGGGAAGCCACGACGTGCACACCGCAGACGCACATTGCTCGGAGATCTTGCTACGAGAAGTGGGGAATATTCTTCGTAGATCCGCTTAGGCTTAGGGCCCTGAGGTGCCCCAAAGCTTCTGTGAGTAGGTCCCGAGGGCCGTCGGGGGATAAAGAAACTCCTGCGGGAACCTGCTCGCAGGCCGACTTCTCTAGTGACTGTGCGTGGATTCCCGGCGCGGAGCCTGCTTTCGCTCCCTCGCCCAGGAGGCCACGTCTGCCAGCCTCGCGCCTACCACGTCAGCCGTCGGATGCGTGACCTCCAGCAGCTCCACGACGACGGACGCCTCGACGCCCGACGCGGCCCCGTCGCCCGTCAGACCCTCCTCGCCCGCGCCCGCGGCCACCAATGCCACCATCCCCACTGGCCCGAAGAGCCGGGCCCGCTCCTGGAAGGGGGACAAAAAACTGCACAGCAGCAGGAACTTGCGGGCGTCCGCGCGGGCTTCGTGCGACGGCGCTGGGCCCCCCGCCCTGGCGCGCGGCGAGCGCTGGGGGCGGCGCCGGAGGATCCGCCGAGGGGGTCCAGCGCAGATCTAAGAGATCCGCGCGGAGCTCCGAAAGTTCGTTTTTGTCCCTGTGTTTCAGGGCCCCCTACACCAGGACATTGCTATCCAAGAGTTTGTAAATTCTAAGACTTTCAAGCGTTCACCTTGGCGACGACAGGAAACGGGACTAACGCACGATGACATAATAGCAACCTTGCGCGGTGGCTTACGCAGCCGCCACCGCGGCACGTTACATTGGAAACGAGGGCGCTCACGCGCGACCTTGCTCGGACAGCTCACGCGCCAACGTCCGTGCAGTCGACCGCGTTTTCTTCCGTCGACCACCTGGAGAAAACAAGTGATGGAGTGTGCTTCGACCCGCAACTGCAGTTTTCTCCGGTGCGCCGTTGTGCTGGTTTTTCAAAGTCCCCGTATACGGAGGCCTCCCAGATGGGGTCCGAGCAGCATAGCCGATGCATCACCGATGCATCGGCCGTGTCAACGATGCATCGGCGACGTCGGCGTGGAGAGAATCGGGCTCCACATCGAGCAGCGTCCCCAATGCATCGGCGATGCGAGGCGATCCTCTGGTCTCCTCGAACCCCATCTGGTGGCTTAGAGTCTTCGAGCAATTGGGAGATCGACTACAGAATTGATGTATGCCAAGATCGTTTTGGCCGTCGAATCTGCGGAAGGGATGGTACGCAGAATGTTCTGTAGATCTGAGGAACATTCACGCATATGTTCCACGCATATCTTCCACGCACTCGACGAGAAAAACAATTCTGGGGTAAGTCTATTCGGTAGCCGATCCCCTACCCAAAGTGTAGGGGGCACTGACTTTCTCTTCGTCCGAGCTCCCCTGGCCGCATGCGCGGCAGCGCGAGCTCGAGCAGGTCGCAGAGGGCCCCCTCCCCCACGGTGGCGAGGCGCTCCCGCCACGCGGGCGGCGGCGAGGCGGGCCCGCTGGCGCCCTCGGTGCGCCACAAGGGAGCGTCGGAATCCACAGCCTCTGGGGCCCCGCCCCGGGGCCCCTGGGGGCCCCGAGAGTCGGGATCCACCAAAAGGGGGGTGACCCTGAGGGGGGGCATGAATTCGATCCAGTGGTGCACCGAACTGCCGCAAACAGATGACTCCTCGCATGCCCCACCTGTCGGCAACTGTCGGGAGCTGCCGGCGGCTGGGGGGCATCGGTTTGGGCGGTTCGGTGCAAAAACCGATCACTCTCTCTCTCACACACACACACACATACACACCGTGGGGCACACACCTCCTTTTGCGGGATCCCGAGAGAGGGGGAGACCCGTTTGAGTGGTGGGTGGCTGGCGACTCAGCTTGCGCAGCGGACTTTCCTGGCGCCTCCCCGCGCCGGAGGCGCCCGTGCGTCGGGGGAGGCGCTCAGCGGCGGGGCTGAAACCAGCTGCACACGGCGGGCTCCGTAACCTCCTCCTCCTCCTCCTCCTCCTCCTCCGCCTCCTCCGCCTCCTCCGCCTCCTCGGACCCAGACCCCCAGGGGTCCGGGCCCCCAGGCTCCCCCCCCGGTCCCCATCCCACCGTGTCGTCCGCATCGGCAGAGGAGCAAACAAAGGCACCAGCATAAGCCGTCGGAAGTCCGCGCAGAGTTCTTAGGCTGGCGCTGGGCTCCCCGCGCGCCAGGGAGGGGGGATATTTGGCGCCCGTCCAACGAGTCCGCGCGGACCTCCAACAGCTTGTGTTCATGCCGATGTTTCCTCCTCGGCCCGAAGCAGCGACGGATATGCGGAACCCTGCCCGCCCGCCTGGGCGGGCAGATGTCCGTGTCCACCACTCGCCGAGAACCCGAGGCCAAGACCTCGAAGAGGTGGGTGTGGATAGACCCAGACCCCCGGCGCCATGTTTTCTGTTCACGCAGACCCCCAATAAAGATATCGGCACCTTCCCCGAGACTATCCTGAATCGTTTCCGTTGACGGCCCCCGGGCCCGGTAAGGTCCACGAGGGTCCGAAGACGGTGGCCAAAAACCCTCGGTTGTTCTCCAAGCAGTGCTTGCGCTTAGGGGTTCTTGCTTGAGCTTCTCAGGAACTGAATAGGTGTCCCAAGGATTCGCGACGTTCCAGCTTGTTGCCGCCCAGTTGCCGCCAGTGGGGTCTCAGGGGTTCGCCACGTTCTGGCCAGTTGCGTCCCGCTGCGGGCCGTTACCGCCTGTGGGGGTGTCCCAAGAGATCGCCACGTCCCGGCCCACTGCCGCCCGCTGCCGCCCGGGGTTCGCCATGTTCTGGCCCGTTATCGCCCGTTGCTGGCCGTTGCCGCCTGTGGGGGTGTCCCGGGGATGCCTTCTTCTTCTTCGAGAAACGACCGCAAAGACGCGTGTGCGTCCACAGTGCTGTAGCCGACGGTTCGGGGGCCATGCTGGTAAACATGATTTCGCCTCAGGCGCAAGAAGATGTAGTCTGGGCGAATTGGGCAACCACATACGAACCCTGCCCCTGCAGCTCAGACATCTGAAACGCCAGCCGGGGCGCATAATCTCAGAATTTGAAGGGTGTCCGCAGCCAGGTGAGCCCCACCCGGACGCTACAACCCATGGCCGACCGGACCGGCAAGGACAGGGCTCGCACGTGGCCGCAGTTAGGGAAAGCCCACAATGCGGCGAGGGCATTGGATAAGGAACCATTGGAGAACGAATCCAGGGGATGGAGGCAGGTGGAACTTCAACTGAGGCTTGGCGATGGTTTTCACCGCCGCCCTCATCAGATAAAAAACTCTCCAGGGTCTGAAGCCTCCTGGGCACGTTCCTTAACAAACGACCCAACCGTACCGATACCGCTGCTCTCCCTGGGTCTCCTTCCAGGTGCGTTCTGACGTTCTGACCTCGACTTCGAAGCGAACCCTGCCGTGGCAACGAGGGCCTCCCAGGGGGTCCCGAACAATCGAGAACGAAGGGAGGGAGTAGCGGTATCCGTGCCTCTTCCTCTGAGCAGCCGATTGGATTTTTCAGTGCGCGGCCCCACAGGTCCCGACCCCTTGATTCACAAGGGCCAGGCTTTCGCCCCGGATCCATTCTTGATGGGCCCTGGGCACTAAAATCCCCGTACGCCGAAACCGACCGGATCCATTCTTGATGGCCCCTGGGCGCAATGGAAGTCCTTGGAGGCCGAGATCGAAGAACACAAACGCCTAGATCCAAGCGACAAAAACCAAAAAGACAGAGAGCACACCGCCGGAGGCCTGGGCAAAGGGGCACCCCGCGGCGGGCACAAACCTCTGACACAGCGATGTTTGCCACAACGCGGCTCCCCCGATCGTGAACGTACTGACTCGGGTCAATGCAAGCCCGGGTCAGTCGGGCCCTGCAGGATCCTGCAAGATCCTGAAGGATCCTGCAGAATCCTGCGCCGAAGCCCTGGTCAGTGCACCCATGGCTCTGGAGGATGCTGCAAGATCCGGCGCTCTCACTGATCCCCGCTTGCATTGACCCCCGTCTCTTGAGCCCCGACCCGAAACCTCATGCGAAGCAGCATGCTCTCCCCTAATGGGCCGCGAACGGTGCCCAGTCCCCTGCAGGCCGCCCAGTACCTGTCATTGAACTCATTGGCTTCATTGAATTAGAGGCCGCCTAGATGGGATCGGAGTAGATGGGGTCGGAGGATCGCGCCGCATCGCCAATACATCGGCGATGCATCGCCGATGCATCGGCCATGCACTGGCAATGCCGGCGATACATCCGCGACATCGGCGTGGAGAAGCATGGGCTCCAGATCGAGCCGCATCGTTGATGCATCGGCGTTGCGGCGCGATCCTCCGACCCCATTTGCTCGGACCCTGTTTGGGAGGCCTAGATGAGTTCAAGAGCATGCTCTCCCTTCCCCGGGACAAACGATACGAAAGCCCCGCATCGCGACCTGCTCGCAACGCGAGGGTGTCTGGGCAGGTCCCTCCTCCCCCTCCTCCTCCTCCTCCTCCTCCTCATCCTCCTCCTCCTAGCTGCCATCTGGGCCTAAGAGATTGTCAGGGCAGCCACAGGACCTCACACAGCTATTACATTGTATGTGGCGACACCCATAGCTGGGCGGAGGCCCGCATGGCGACGGCATGGACGGCCTCCTTCGCCCTGTTGCTTTTCAATCCGCTGGCGGCGCCGCCCGACCGACAACGAGAGATTTACGAGGAGGCCCGCAACTTCGACGTGACCATCCTTACAGGTACCCAGAGACTCCGACGAGAAGCACACCCCGAACAACGCAGATATAACGACACACGGGTGATCGACGCTGGATGGCAGCCAGGCGCCCTCACCAACCGCAGCACGGGCATGATCATCGCTGTACAAGGCAAACTACGAGGGGCACAGATACTCGGAATTCATGAACCGCCAAGCGAACTTCGCGGCAGAGGACTTGCACTGCACCTGCGACATCACGATACAGACCTGTTCCTCATTGGCTACTACTGCCCACCGCAGCCCAAGAAGACCGTGGAGCGCAAGCAGTACTACGCGACGGTGGCCAGACTGTTCAAGTGGATGGACGAAATGGCCAAAACCAGACCGAGAAGCAGCGTCCTCCTCACGGCGGGCGACCTTAACGACGGAGTCGGCATCACCCCGCAGAACGAGCACCCGATCTCAGATGCCCTGGGACCTGGGCGCGCGCGTGAACGATTACCAGGAGGCGCAGGACAGAAAGCCAGACACTATGCGGAACGCCACCGCTTGACACTGACGAATACTACCAGCAGCTGGAGGCCAACCTACTTCGGAGAGAAGCACGCCAGCTGCATCGACTACATCATGGCGCCCCAGGACCTTATCGGCAGCATGATCAGCCAAGGCCCCCTCCTTCGGATGGGCACACGACTCCAGCACATACCGAGTCGATTTCATCGGGACCACGTTCCAGTTCAAACTACACTACGCATACCGCTACGACACCGAGTACGCCAGACTACGCCGCAGACTCGCTGGGACAAGGATCTACTGGCACAGGCAGTACACAAAGGACACAATCGAGACGAGTTCATCAAAGATCTGGAGACTAAGGTCGAAAACTACGACGCAGAGGGCAAAGGCATCGACCAGCTATTCCAAGACATCAACCGAATGATCATCGACGCGGCCAAGCCATACTACGGACAGACACAACGCAGAGAAGATCCAGAATACGCCGCACTCCGAGACCGACGACTGGCGCTACTACGACGACGCCGAGATTTACGACAAGCACTACGGGACCGCGGGAATATTTTACGCATCGTCGACTCCGAGATTAACTACGACACCCCGCACGAACTTCTTCAAGCCCTACAACCTGACAACCCATACGACGACACAGCGGAACGCCAACATGCAGAATACGAACAAGAACTACATGCACTGGAAGTGGAGTTACGACACATCACGAACCATTGCGCCAGACTCCGCAAGCAGGAGCACCAGGTCAGGACGGACGCGAGGGTCGAGGAGCTGTACGAGGCGTGGAAGCAACGAGACCTTGCACGAGTAGGCCGATTATCCAGACTGATCGCAGGGGGACGATACGGCCCAAGAAAACGTGACTACTGGACCAGCGTGACCGCGAACCCGAGCAAGCAAGAGTGGCTCGACTTCTGGAAGCTACCCGGCGGCATGGGAGGCATGGAGGGCACGGAACAGGACATCCACGCGCTCGACCAGATCCCTAGCCCCACAGAGCAGCAGGACTACTACGAGAACGACTTAGAGGAGAAGGTCGACGAGGATTTCGAGTACACCACCAAGAGCATCAAGAAAGCGAAGCTACGCCGAGTGGCACCCCCTACTTCGGCACCGTCGGAACTGTGGCGACTCATTCTTTGCCCACCCAACCCAGAACGGCAAGAACGCCAAGGACTCGGGGCACCACGTGCAGATCGACAACCCGACTTGTTCACGGAACTATTTCGAGCATCACTGGCGGCGATCAGAATTGGCAACGCAACTCCAGTCCGATGGCACCAGAGCGCAGCCACCGCCGTCAAGAAGAACCAAAAGCCTGGCCCCGCGGGCAAGAGAATTTACCACATCATGGACCCCATCGGCAAGGCGTACTACTCGGGCTGCCTGAAGAGAAAAAAAACTAGAACGCATACGGATCAGGACTACGGATTTATCAGAGGACGAAGACGAGGAGCAATTCTCACGATGGCTATAGTGGAATATCGAGCCAGACAAGCAGGCTGGAACTTCGCTTCCTCGATGAAGGACATGTCCAACGCTTTCGCGAGCTGCTCGTGGCACGAGATGGATGAAGCCAACCGCAAGATCATGCCAGACGGCATGGAAGAGATAGGCAAACAAAGATATCAGAGAGCGGCGTTCAACATACCATGCCGAGACGAACAACACGGAGTCTGTATCAAACCGCACTGCGGAGGCTTCATCGGCGACCCCTACATGGTGCAGAACTTCGTCGCCAGCTTTGCGCCTAGTGTACAACAATGGGTACGAGATTGCAAGGCTCAACTCCCACATGATCATCTTCTGTATGGGAACAGCGAGCTTTTCCAGTATCCAGTATACCTCGGCCTCACGAAGTACGCAGATGACTTACGCAAGCTTATCATTACTCAGCGGGCAGACGCGCACGACATCGTGAATCAGGCCCACCAGGTGGACAACATGCTGAACACCAGGCTCACAGAGATCGGGATGCGGCAGAACCAGGACAAGCAGGAGACCATCATCAACTTCCAGGGCCACGGCTCGAAGAAGGCGCACCGTGACATCAAGAACAACACAGGCGCCAAGATGCCAGGTAAAGTACTTCCACACGCCCGTTATCTCGGACCGCAAGTCAGCCCTCACCAGAACTACGGAGCGGAACTCATCAAGCGCATCGCAGCCATGAAGAAGAGCTATTACGAGTGCGGAGCGTTCTGGAGCAAGGCCAACATCCCATACCGTTGGAAGCGAGCAGTACTACTTTGCCGAGTGATCAACACAGGCCTCTCGTGCATCGAGTGCTTCCTCCCGACCACGACAGAGTACAGACAACTCCAGAGTGCGATGGGAGCACTACTACGTAAGGCCATGCGAGGCAGAGCCACAACGTACCGCGAGGACGGCACCGTGCGGAGCATGAGCACCTTGGAGGTCTTCCGCCATTGGCAAATATTGCCGCCGGCAGAAGAGGCACTGATACGACGAGTCAGCTGGCTAAAAACTATTCTGCGCTTCCCTGCTAACAACAAACAGCTGATCGTTGCGCTCTTCGGCCGAGTCGACTTCGAGACGAACACCGAAACGACCACCGACGCGATCCAGAGCGACACGAATCCATGGGCTCAGAGGTTTCTGGAGGACATTAAGTATGCCTGCGAGGTCTCAGAGAATTTCCAGGACATCTTAGGGCGGAGCTAGGACATAACGATAGGCAAGCTCTTCACGCTAGATATCCGAGAACAACTTTGGAGCCTGGACCCCAAGGAAATACGAGCAGCCAAACTAGCAGTAGCGGTACCCCCAGTACAGCAAGATCACGACGACGAACAACGAGAGAACATAGCCTTAGACGAGAAAAAGATTTGGAAATGCGAACTTCTTGACGAACGAGACGTATGTGGAATGTTATTTGCAAGCAAGAAAGCGTTACACAGCCATATCATACGAGCACACCATGTTCATAACTTAGCGGCAATTCTTACCAGCAACAACGAGTGCATCAATTGTGGGCAGGTATTCACCAGCAAAGGAACGGCCTGGAAACACCTAGCACGAAGTATGATTCGAGGGGGCTGCAGCCGAGACACGACGAAGAACCAGTACGAAGCGGCCCCACACGAACCTCGATGTCCGATCTGTAGTCATTTTGCCTTAGATAAGCATAGCTGCTACCGCCACCTTTGCACACACCTTCCTCGACAACTACTTCAGCCAGCAAAGGATGTCTCTTTTCGACCAGAGGCCGAATGGCGGACAGCCGCTACGCGCACAGGGAGCTCGCCCAGACCGCAGCCGTGGACGCGGAGGGGCGGGACAACAGCGCGGCCCAGCGGGACCAGCAGCGGGCCAGCAGCAGCAGATGGTCGACCTGACGGCGAGGCTCGCGCTCACCCTGGCACGGGAACAAGCAGAACTGGCCTCCGCAGTACTTCAGACGTGGGAGATCGGAACGGAAGCCAATATCGCTACATCGGGACTCGAAGCAGGGCGCGCCTACAACGAGGAGGCTCAGGACCTGAACCAGCGCGCCAAGGCCGGCGAGGCAGTCGACACGGCGCAGCTTGGAAGCCCGCACCTGAAGGTCTGGACGGAGGTCTGCGCCTACCTGGGCAAGACGCTCGAGGAAGGGGCTTCCAAGCAGCACGTCGAGCAGTACTACCGCGACAAAGTACTCAACGCCGCTCCAGAAGTGCTCGGAGATTCAGTACCAGTATTTCGCGTTCGGCGCAACAAAGGCAAGGATGGCAACGGGAAAGACAAGTGCAGGTTCCAGTTCACTTTCAACGCGAACGATCACCAGATTGCGACAGTGCTAGTCAACCAGCTCAAGAAGGAGGGAGCCACGCGCCGCGTGGGCTCGGCGCCGCGCGGGGCGCTGGAGCGGGAACTCGGGCGCCTGGTCAACGGCTGACCGCCGAACGACACGCAGAGGACACCAGAGAAGAGCATGCCGTAGGCTTACGCCAAATCCAGAGTGAGGGAACGCCCCGCGCCGTGCCCAGAGCTTTCGAAAATAGTGTACGATTCCGAGAGCTGGCGGCCAGAGGCAGACTCCCAACCCCTCCTCCTCAGAACGCTCCTGAAGTTTTTAGGTTCAGAGGCCATGGTTTTCCTGACTACTTTTTGATGCACCGCCCTCCCCCCCCTCCCGAACCCAAAAGGAAAGGTCGGGGTAAAGGGGGGCGAGCCCAGGGTAAAAACCAGGGGCAACAGGCGAGGTAGGTTTCCGCGAGGGGCGGGTGCTACCCCGCCCTCCAGCCTCTGCGTGGGGCTTTCGGTGCGGGTTGGGCCCGAGCACGACATCGTGCCAGCTCACCCAGCAAGCGCAGAGAGTACAGCTAGGACGATTTAAAAACAGTTTTTTTTAAGCTACCGATTCTGAGGAGGTTGCGAACTTCGTCCCCACGGCTCGATCGATCCTCCTCCTCCTCCTCCTCCTCCTCCTCCTCCTCCTCCTCCTCCTCATCCTCCTCCTCCTCCTCCTCCTACCCCGCGGCCCCGAAGACCTCCAGGACTGCGAAGCGGACGCGGGCGCCGTCCCTCGGGCAGCGGTGGTCGGCCTCACCCCGCCGCAGCGTCCGCTTCCGGAGCGGGCAGCCGAGCGCGGCGCCGTCGAGCCTGCACGGCGCGAGGTCGCACTCCTCTGGGGGCGGGGGCAGTGGCGAGGGGGAGTCGCCACCAGAGGTCGCCAGGCCCTCCTGAGGATCGAGGCTCCAGGATCTAAGCTCGAGGAGGGTGTCGGATCGTCCGGGGTCGACCTGGGGAGCTCTGACATGTTATAGGGGGGGCCACTTCCGCGATGAGCTGGCGTTTCCTCCACTTGGCATCACCGGCTCTTGGGGGGCGCGGGGGGCCAGCGGGACGGTGAGGCTTGCCCCGGGCCCATCCAAAGCTTTGGTATGGGTCCCTGGACATGCCCGCGCCGTGGGAAATCACGACGCTCTGGCCTTGGACGTCTTCGGCCTTCAGGGGCCCTCGTCGGGCCCCAGGGCCGCCACCAAAAACGGCTCGGGAGGAGCAACTGGCCCTAGAGAGTGTAAGGGGAAGGAGACAACAAAAGCACGATTACATGTACAGCGCCTCCTGCCGAAGGCATATGTACACCAGCGCAGCACAGTTTACCTGTATGAGCAGAAGGCAACTACACACCACCAGCGTGCCAGGCCAGGGCCATCCTGATGCCTCCTGCGGAGAGGAGGGCAGAGTGTTGAAACTTCCTGGGGCCCCGTATATAAAAATTAGCCTGGCGAAAGACCCAACCATACTCAGTTGTGAATACCGCATGTGTGAATACCATCTTCGCCCACGCTCCCTATGTGGCCACGGCTTCCAGCCAGAGCCCGACATGCTCAGGGACACGTTCGCGGCCGCCCTCGCGGGCGCCGACGACGACGAGGACGGCGCCCCAATGGGGCCATGAAACGTGTGAGAGGTATGCCGAAATGGCCCGAGGCCGCCATGCGAGTTCCGCCACTGAGACCATAGGTGGAGCTCCCCATGGGGCCACGAAGCGCGTGAGGGGTGTGCCGAAATGGCCCGGGGCCGCCATGCGAGTTCCGCCACTGGGACCTTAGGTGGAGCTCCCTATGGGACCACGGAACGCGTGAGGGGTATGCCGAAATGGCCCGAGGCCACCATGCGAGTTCTGAGTTCCGCCACTGGAACCTTAGGTGGAGCTCCCTATGGGGCGACGAAACGTGTGAGGGGTGTGCCAGAATGGGTGCGGGGACCGCAGGGTGGACCTCCCTATGGGGCCACGAAACGCGTGAGAGGTATGCCGAAATGGCTCGAGGCCGCCATGCGAGTTCCGCCACTGAGACCATAGGTGGAGCTCCCCATGGGGCCACGAAGCGCGTGAGGGGTGTGCCGAAATGGCCCGAGGCCGCCATGCGAGTTCCGCCACTGGGACCTTAGGTGGAGCTCCCTATGGGACCACGAAACGCGTGAGGGGTATGCCGAAATGGCCCGAGGCCACCATGCGAGTTCTGAGTTCCGCCACTGGAACGGAGCTCCCTATGGGGCGACGAAACGTGTGAGGGGTGTGCCAGAATGGGTGCGGGGACCGCAGGGTGGACCTCCCTATGGGGCCACGAAGCGCGTGAGAGGTATGCCGAAATGGCCCGACGCCGCCATGCGAGTTCCGCCACTGGGACCTTGGGTGGAGCTCCCTATGGGGCCGCGAAACGTGTGAGGGGTGTACCAAAATGGGTGCGGAGACCGCATGCGAGTTCCGCCACAGGGACCTTAAGTGGAGCTCCCTATAGGGCCACGAAACGTGTGAGGAGTGTGCCAAAATGGGTGCGGGGACCGCATGCGAGTTCCGCAACTGGGACCTTAGATGGAACTCCCTATGGGGCCACGAAACGTGTGAGGGGTGTGCCAAAATGGATGCGGGGACCGCATGCGAGTTCCGCCATTGGGACCGTAGTTGGAGCTCCCTATGGGGCCACGAAACGTGTGAGGGGTGTGCCGACAGAGAGACAAGCGGAGGGCAGAGGCAAGGAGGGGGAGGAAGGGAGGCAGCGGGAGGAGAAGGAAAGAAGGAAGGAAGGAGGACGCGGGGCGCTGTCCTATCAAAACGAGGACCCAACACCACAGGATGGTTGGGAAGAATCCATACATCGGATGCCTGGGTCTCCCCCCACCAGAAAGCAGCCCCCCCCCGTCCTGGGACGCGGTCTGGCCAGCAAGAAGTCGAGGAGGATCCAGCCGAGGCGACGGAGGCGCCCCAGGAGCCCTCCGAAAAGGAGCAAGAACGTCCACCAACACTGCGAGCTGGCGACAGATGCCGATGCCTCTGCTCCCAGGGCCTCTTTCCCTCCTTCCTCGAGGCGCGCTCTGGCCAGGATCCCAAAGTGGATCCAGCCGCGTCGACGAGGAACGCCCCCCATATAGATCCCGAGAGGCCCGAGGCCGCCCAGGAAGGCTCGAGCCGACCCCCGCTGCCTCCCCAACCCCTGGCCGCTGGCGCGTGCTGTGTCCATCCGCGGCCTCGGAGCTCCCGACCCCCCCCCCCCCGGGCACAAGTCCGCCACCTTCCCAGGGCCCAGTAATGCGGGATGACGATTCATATAAAAAATGAGTGGGAACGATAAAAAAAAATACCCTGTGACGTACCCAACCCATGTGTATCATGGGAAACGAGGAGTTGGCCGAAACTTGCACGGACAATCAAATTGCAGGATCCGTTGCTTGATGGGTAAGCTACTTGGGACACGCGCCAATGGAATGATGCGCATGGGAACCATACAAGAATGAGGGGCGACAACTACAGGCTCGAAGAGGACATGGGGAGTCGGGAACGAAGAGCAGGAGAAAAACGTGTGGGAAGCCCACTGTGCTGGGCCCCCCAACAGGCCTCGAAAGTGGCGACAGTTTCACAGATCGCAGCCCCCCAGGGATGGCGAGGTCCCATTTGAATCCGCCGTGGGTACCCACTGTGCTGGGTCCCCCAGCAGCCCTCGAAAGTGGCGACAGTTTCACAGATCGCAGCCCCCCAGGGATGGCGAGGTCCCGGCCCACTGTGAGCAGGCCCGAAAGTGGCGACAGTTTCACTGATCGCAGCCCCCCAGGGATGGCGAGGTCCCATTTGAGTCCGCCGTGGGTACCCACTGTGCTGGGCCCCCCAGCAGGCCTCGAAAGTGGCGACAGTTTCACAGATCGCAGCCCCCCAGGGATGGCGAGGTCCCATTTGAGTCCGCCGTGGTACCCACTGTGCTGGGCCCCCCAGCAGGCCTCGAAAGTGGCGACAGTTTCACAGATCGCAGCCCCCCAGGGATGGCGAGGTCCAATTTCAATCCGCCGTGGTACCCACTGTGCTGGGCCCCCCAGCAGGCCTCGAAGTGGCGACAGTTTCACAGATCGCAGCCCCCCAGGGATGGCGAGGTCCCATTTGAGTCCGCCGTGGGTACCCACTGTGCTGGGCCCCCCAGCAGGCCTCGAAAGTGGCGACAGTTTCACAGATCGCAGCCCCCCAGGGATGGCGAGGTCTATTTGAGTCCGCCGTGGGTACCCACTGTGCTGGGCCCCCCAGCAGGCCTCGAAAGTGGCGACAGTTTCACAGATCGCAGCCCCCCAGGGATGGCGAGGTCCCATTTGAGTCCGCCGTGGGTACCCACTGTGCTGGGCCCCCCAGCAGCCCTCGAAAGTGGCGACAGTTTCACAGATCGCAGCCCCCCAGGGATGGCGAGGTCTAATTTGAGTCCGCGGTGGGTACCCACTGTGCTGGGCCCCCCAGCAGGCCTCGAAAGTGGCGACAGTTTCACAGATCGCAGCCCCCCAGGGATGGCGAGGTCCAATTTGAATCCGCCGTGGGTACCCACTGTGCTGGGCCCCCCAGCAGGCCGCGAAAGTGGCGACAGTTTCACAGATCGCAGCCCCCCAGGGATGGCGAGGTCCCATTTGAGTCCGCCGTGGGTACCCACTGTGCTGGGCCCCCCAGCAGGCCTCGAAAGTGGCGACAGTTTCACAGATCGCAGCCCCCCAGGGATGGCGAGGTCCATTTGAGTCCGCCGTGGGTACCCACTGTGCTGGGCCCCCCAGCAGGCCTCGAAAGTGGCGACAGTTTCACAGATCGCAGCCCCCCAGGGATGGCGAGGTCCATTTGAGTCCGCCGTGGGTACCCACTGTGCTGGGCCCCCCAGCAGGCCGCGAAAGTGGCGACAGTTTCACAGATCGCAGCCCCCCAGGGATGGCGAGGTCCCATTTGAGTCCGCCGTGGGTACCCACTGTGCTGGGCCCCCCAGCAGGCCTCGAAAGTGGCGACAGTTTCACAGATCGCAGCCCCCCAGGGATGGCGAGGTCACATTTGAGTCCGCCGTGGGTACCCACTGTGCTGGGCCCCCCAGCAGGCCTCGAAAGTGGCGACAGTTTCACAGATCGCAGCCCCCCAGGGATGGCGAGGTCCCATTTGAGTCCGCCGTGGGTACCCACTGTGCTGGGCCCCCCAGCAGGCCTCGAAAGTGGCGACAGTTTCACAGATCGCAGCCCCCCAGGGATGGCGAGGTCACATTGAGTCTCGTAACCCACTGTGCTGGGCCCCCCAGCAGGCCGCCGAAAGTGGCGACAGTTTCACAGATCGCAGCCCCCCAGGGATGGCGAGGTCCCATTTCCGATGTGTGGGCCCCCCAGCAGCCGTCGAAAGGTGGCGAGTTTCCCACTGTGCTGGCCCCCCAGCAGGCCTCGAAAGTGGCGACAGTTTCACAGATCGCAGCCCCCCACGGATGGCGAGGTCCAATTTGAATCCGCCGTGGGTACCCACTGTGCTGGGCCCCCCAGCAGGCCGCGAAAGTGGCGACAGTTTCACAGATCGCAGCCCCCAGGGATGGCGAGGTCCATTTGAGTCCGCCGTGGGTACCCACTGTGCTGGGCCCCCCAGCAGGCCTCGAAAGTGGCGACAGTTTCACAGATCGCAGCCCCCCAGGGATGGCGAGGTCCCATTTGAGTCCGCCGTGGGTACCCACTGTGCTGGGCCCCCCAGCAGGCCGCGAAAGTGGCGACAGTTTCACAGATCGCAGCCCCCCAGGGATGGCGAGGTCCCATTGAGTCCGCCGTGGGTACCCACTGTGCTGGGCCCCCAGCAGGCCGCGAAAGTGGCGACAGTTTCACAGATCGCAGCCCCCCAGGGATGGCGAGGTCCATTTGAGTCCGCCGTGGGTACCCACTGTGCTGGGCCCCCCCAGCAGGCCTCGAAAGTGGCGACAGTTTCACAGATCGCAGCCCCCCAGGGATGGCGAGGTCCCATTTGAGTCCGCCGTGGGTACCCACTGTGCTGGGCCCCCCAGCAGGCCTCGAAAGTGGCGACAGTTTCACAGATCGCAGCCCCCCAGGGATGGCGAGGTCCCATTTGAGTCCGCCGTGGGTACCCACTGTGCTGGGCCCCCCAGCAGGCCTCGAAAGTGGCGGCAGTTTCACAGATCGCAGCCCCCCAGGGATGGCGAGGTCCCCGCGAAAGTGGCGACAGTTTCACAGATCGCAGCCCCCCAGGGATGGCGAGGTCACATTTGAGTCCGCCGTGGGTACCCACTGTGCTGGGCCCCCCAGCAGGCCTCGAAAGTGGCGACAGTTTCACAGATCGCAGCCCCCCAGGGATGGCGAGGTCCCATTTGAGTCCGCCGTGGGTACCCACTGTGCTGGGCCCCCCAGCAGGCCGCGAAAGTGGCGACAGTTTCACAGATCGCAGCCCCCCAGGGATGGCGAGGTCCCATTTGAGTCCGCCGTGGGTACCCACTGTGCTGGGCTCCCCAGCAGGCCGCGAAAGTGGCGACAGTTTCACAGATCGCAGCCCCCCAGCTGGCACGCAGCGACGAGCGAGGCGAAAGGCAGGGGGGAAGAGAGGGACGGGAGGGGGTGGGAAGGAGACGCGCGAGCAGCGCTCTATTCAAAACGAGAACCCAACGCAGGAGGGTTGGGAAATAGTGTTCTGCTGTTTCTGCAAAAGTTTCAACAAAACCACAAAAAAAAACGAGAGGAGAACGATTTGAAACAATAGTTTTCCAGCCCGCGGCTGGTTTTTTCTAATCGTCATCCCAGGCGCCGCCGCGTGAACACGACCCCCGGTCATTTATTAATCGTCATCCTCCATTACCAGGCCCACGAGGCCGAGATTGAAGAAAAACGCCCGGACCCACCCAAAACTCATATGGCCCGAGAGTCCGAGATCTGGGCTCGGCCCTGAGGTGCGGACCGCTGCCCCGGAACCGGCTCTTCATCCTGCATAGTTGCTAAGACGGTTCCTAGGCTGGGCCTCCGCAAGCCGAGAAATGGCGGAACACCTCCCGTTGCGGTTGTGTCGCGAATTGGGGGGGGGTATGGGGAACAACTCGAACCGATCTTTGCTGCCTCCAGCCCCGATCCTCGCAGACGCCTCGAAGGGTGATGCATGGGCGACTGGGGGTCGATACGTCCCATTCTAACCCTCTCCCCCAGTACCGTCGGGGCGTTGACCTAAGGAACCCTACAAAGGAACGAGGCCCCTTTTTCCCATAAGTTCAACCTCGATTTCCGATGGAAAACCTCAGGAAAACCCGAGGCAAACTTTGAAACAATCAAGGAACACCGAGCCCCTCCCCAACAAAAAGGGTTCCTTCTTCAGCGCCCCGACTGTAATCCTTTTCGTCTGGTTTTCGGGTCATAGCTCGGCTCTCCGCCGCCCGTTCGGAGCGATCTGGACACCCCGGGACACTTCTCGGCGATGCGCAGCCAGCCGCTGGTCAGCATCTCTAGCGGGAAAACTGCCTAGACCCCGACGAAAACCCAATTATCCTGGCGAAGGAACCAACAATATGCAGTTGTGGGTACCGCAATTGTGAAAATCTTCTTCGGTGAAACTCCCTATGGGGCCACATATCGCTGTGAGTAAGGTTTCCAGGACGCATGCGGACGGTCCCACTGGGGGCTTTGGTGGAGCTCCCTATGGGGCCACGAAGCGCCGTACTGGGCAAGTGAAAATGCCAAATTGGGCTTCCGGGACGCATGCGGAGGGTCCCACTGGAGGCTCCGGTGGAACTCCCTATGGGGCCACGAAGCGCTGTACTGGGTGGGTGAAAATGCCAAATTGGGCTTCCGGGACGCATGCGGACGGTCCCACTGGGGGCTTCGGTGGAGCTCACTAAGGGGCCACGAAACGCTGTATTTGTTTGATAAAAATGCCACGTTGGGTTTTCGGGGCGCATGCGGACGGTGGCACTGGGGCCTTCGGTGGAGTTCCCTACGGGGCCACGAAATTGCAGACTGGGTGGGTGAAAATGCCACAATGGCTGTTTCGGGACGCTTGCGGACGGTCCCACTGGAGCCTTCGGTGGAGCTCTCTGTGGGGCCACGAAACGCTGTAATGGGTGAGTGAAAATACCGAATTGGCTGTTTCAGGACGCACTCGGACGGTCCCACTGGGGGCTTCGGTGGAGCTCCCTATGGGGCCACGAAACGCTGTACTGAGTGGGACGCATGTGGACGGTGGCACTGGGGCCTTCCGTGGAGCTCCCTATGGGGCCTCGAAACGCTGTACTGAGTGGGGGGGGCGCATGTGGACGGTGGCACTGGGGCCTTCCGTGGAGCTCCCTATGGGGCCACGAAACGCTGGGGGGACGCATGTGGACGGTGGCACTGGGGCCTTCGGTGGAGCTCCTTATGGGGCCACGAAGCGCTGTACTGAGTGGGGGGGACGCATGTGGACGGTGGCACTGGGGCCTTCGGTGGAGCTCCCTATGGGGCCACGAAACGCTGTACTGAGTGGGGGGGGGCGCATGTGGACGGTGGCACTGGGGCCTTCGGTGGAGCTCCCTATGGGGCCACGAAACGCTGTACTGAGTGGGGGGACGCATGTGGTCGGTGGCACTGAGGCCTTCGGTGGAGCTCCCTATGGGGCAACGAAACGCTGTACTGAGGGGGGGACGCATGTGGACGGTGGCACTGGGGCCTTCGGTGGAGCTCCGTATGGGGCCGCGAAACGCTGTACTGAGTGGGGGGGACGCATGTGGACGGTGGCACTGGGGCCTTCCGTGGAGCTCCCTGTGGGGCCACGAAACGCTGTACTGAGTGGGGGGGGCGCATGTGGACGGTGGCACTGGGGCCTTCGGTGGAGCTGCCTATGGGGCCACGAAGCGCTGTACTGAGTGGGGGGGACGCATGTGGACGGTGGCACGCTCCCTATGGGGCACGAAACGCTGTACTGAGTGGGGGGGACGCATGTGGACGGAGGCACTGGGGCCTTCAGTGGAGCTCCCTATGGGGTCACGAAATGCTGTACTGAATGGGGGGACGCATGTGGACGGTGGCACTGGGGCCTTCGGTGGAGCTCCGTATGGGGCTACGAAACGCTGTACTGGGTGGGTGAAACGCAAGGAAGAGGGGGAGGAGGGAGGAGGAGGGAGGAGGAGGGAGGGGGAGGAGGAGAGGAGAGGAGAGGAGGAGAATGCGGGGACCGTCTCTTCAAAACGAGGACCCAACACCACAGGATGGTTGGGAAAAAACCTCGAACCTCGATCCTGACACGTTCGGCCCCGATCCTCGCAAACGCCCTCGAGGCGGACCTCGACGTCGACCTCGCCCGAAGACCCTGGCGGCACGCCGCGCAGGGCCAGGAGGTCGGCCCCGCACCGGAAGCGCTGGCAAGCCCCCACCGAGATGCGAGGAAGGGGAGGGAGAACGAGGAGGAGGAGGAAGAGGAGGAGGAGAAAAACGCGGAGGAGGAAGAGGAAGGGAAGGAGGAAGAGTGGGAGGAGAAGGAGGAGGAGGAGAAGGAGGAAGAGGAGGGGGAGGAGGAGGGGGAGGAGGAGGATGAGGAGGAGGAGGAGGAGGAGGAGGAGGACCAGGAGGAGGAGGAGGAGGAGCAGAGGGAGGAAGAGGAGGGGGAGGAGGAGGAGGAGGAGGAGGAGGAGGAGGAGGAGGAGGAGGACGACGACGACGAGGAGAAGGAGGACGAAGAGGAGGAAGAGGAGGCGGACGAGGAGGGCGAGGAGGACGAGGAACACGAGGACGAGGAGGACGAGGAGGAAATCGAAAAGGGGAAGGAGCAGGTAAGTTAGGCGGCAACTGTTGGGAGGTCTTCGTAAGACAAATGAGAAGCCGCTGACACCGATAGAGGGGCCACCAAACCAGATCGGCCCGCATAAAACCCATGATCAAGGTGGACTAAACGAGCGTATATCGAGGCGGAACGATACGGAATCAGGCAGGTTCTCGACCACGGGTAGATCAGCGCCGATGCTGAATTCCCCCCCCGCAGGAAATGCATCCAAAGAGGATAATAACCGGACTATGTGGAGGAGGGGACAAGGACAATGACATCCGCATGAGGGGGTACAACGTCAAAACACCGACGCTGGTGCCATGCACGCATCTGGCACAATCCCCTGCGATTGGTTGTGCAACGGCCCCGACTTCTCACTGGGGACCGGCCGGGGGCAGACCCCGCTGCTCAAGGAGTGAGTTCCGATGTGGCCCCGTATGAAAGGCTCGCTACCTCACGATTGCAAGTCCCTGCGGGTCAGCGCGGGGGGAGCAGCCGCTGGCCTTTCAGCGTGCCCAAGGGGTGGGGGCGCGCGGGCTTAGCAGTGCGCCCAAGCTAAGGGGGGAGGAGACGACGACACGACAACTCAAAAAGAGGAGGGGGAGAGGGTCGGGAGCCCCCTGTTTCCCAAACGTTTGCTGGGAGGCCTGATTACGCACTGCTTTTTTTTATTATACAATATTATATGCTCTCTCGCTCGGTTCACTTCTCTTCCACATCGAACTGGCCGATAGTTGTCCGATGCATTGTCGTAACTGTATTATGATACCGTGTTGAAGCAAGCATCCCACTGTTCCCCCTCGAAGTGCATGTGGGGTAGAGCACGCAGGTGGTCACAGTATTTAGTAGGTGGGGCCATCGACGATGCGCTCTGGTGGCCCTCGCGGTGATAACTTCTGCTCCCCCTTCATCACCTGCAATCGTGTACTGGTCGGCGCTCCGAACAAACACTTCCCACGGCGATGTCAGTGCGAACGCACTGTGTTCGCCCGTCCTGTAGCACTTCGAAATAACCTCGCTAATGCAAATATTGGCTTAACCAGTGGGCTCGTCCAGTTTTCCCGGAGTAGTACTACGAGAAAACCGTGCCAATGCCTTTTGTGGACTTCCAGTGGTCCCCAGTGGGAGAAAGAAGAAAAGGAGGAGGAGGAGGAGGAGGAGGAGGAGGGGGAGGAGGGGGGGAGGAGGAGGAGGACGAACAGGAGGAGGACGAAGAGGAGGAGGACGAAGAGGAGGAGGACGAACAGGAGGAAGAGGAGGCGGACGAGGAGGGCGAGGAGGACGAGGAGGAAAACGAAAAGGGGAAGGAATAGGTAGGTTAGGCGGCAACTGTTGGGAGGTCTTCGTAAGACAATTCGCAAGCCTTTGTAATCGATAGAGGGGCCCGCATAAAACCCATGATTAAGGTGGACTCAAGGAGATTAAAGCTAGGCGGACCGATACGGAATCTGGCAGGTTCTCGGCCACGGATATAGCAGCGCCGATGCTGAATTCACCCTCCCAGAGATTGCATCCCAAGGAAAAGGAGAAGGAGGAGGAGAAGGAGGAAAATGAGGGGGAAGGAAAAAAAGAGGAGGAGGACAAGGTGGTAAAGGACAAGGATGGGCGGGAGGCGGTGGTAGAGCATATAGTATGGTGTCTAAGTCGTCGTACGTTTTGCCCCCTTCTGGGCCTCTGGGGGCTGGCCTCCGGGGGCGTCGAACCCCCCGACATCTGGAGACCTACCACGACATCTGGACACCCCGGGGGGCGAGGAAGAGGGCAGCGAAGAGAAAGACGAAATGGGAAAGGAGAAGGACGACGAGCCGGACGAGGAGGACGTTGCTAGAAAAATGGATATAATACGAGGTGGTGAAATAATTGCTGTTTCTGTGAAGCGGATCTGAAAGCGGGCGCGATGCACTGCACCGGCTGTAAACGGCAGCCGAAGCAGGCAATGTTGGGGTGAGAAAGGTAAGAGAGGTACCCTTCGAGTCTGGTGCTCAAACAGGTCGGTCGTGCCCTCGTCCGTGCTAACCTGCAGCTGGGGGTGCTCGACTGACTGCGCCCGCAGAACATGCCTGCTAACTGCGCGCGAGAGACGATTGGTGGAACGCCTGCAAATGCGCGCGGCCGCTCAGCTGACATGTCCAACGGAGCAGCACTCACTCGAATTCTCAACTTCCTCGTAGCTCTCGCCGGTCACTGCCCACAGATTTTAACGATCTCGCGGCTGCTGGGCAGGTCGACCTGTATCCTGGCGGGCGGAGCTAACCCGATCAGGCGCCAGAGTTTCGGTGGTCGACGTGGTGACACAGTCACACGAGTCGCCTGTTCACTGCTGAGTGAGGGAACTGTGCTGGGAGCTCGGGATGGCGTTCTTCCTCTTCTCGTCGCTGGACTTGACCGCGCCGTGGTCGTAGCTTGTCTGGCCGTCCAGCACACTGAGGATGAGCCCCTGGCCCATGCTGCACTCGGTCAGGGAGTCGGCCCGTATGCCCCCAGTGTCGCACCAGAGTAGGTTCTCGATTTGATTGGTGCGCAGCTCGCCAACAAACCACCGCAGGTGGCTTGCCGCGCTGTCCCCGGAGGGTGGCCGCGCTGGGCCCATGGGCAGGGCGCCGAAGACGAACGCGCCGTCGATGGCGATATCAGCAGGGATCTGGCACCCACCCTCCCCCCTCAACCTCCTGATCTCCTCGGCAGAGGTGGGGCCGCGCGCCATCTCGCCCAGCGCGAGGAAGTGCGCCTGCAGCCCGACGGCCGCGCCGCATGCTGCGAACAGCTCGGAGCCGAAAAAAGATCTGCGCACCAGTTTGCGCGATCGCTCCTCCGCGTCCAACGCGTGGCACGCCTGTTTCCTGGCGCGGCGACACTTGCCGCGGCGCATGCAAGCGGCTCCTATCATGCCGCATCCCGCCTCATCTTCCCCCTCCCTCTTGGACGACTGGCCGCTGCGTGCGCTACGTCGCCTGGCGCGCCCCATGACTGGATGCGCGACGCGCGCCTGCATTTTCTGCGCGGCCAGCGCAACTGAGTTGATCTGCGTCGCGCGGGGGATGGGCAGCTTGTTCCTGGCTCGATGCAGGGTGAGGATGCACGCGGCCACGCGGTGCTGGGCGAGCAGGGCTTAGGCCGCTGCTCCCCCGAGGGAGACAAAGGCGTGGAAGCTGACATCTGGCCAGATCGCCAGCCTCAGCCTTGACCAGGTCGACATGTCTGATCGGCATCAATGCGTCGATGTATTCATCCTGGTCGAGCGCCGCGGTGCCATCGGCTCCGCGGCGCCAGCGCGCTCCGCAATATGTGATATCAGCAGAATCACACGTGAATTTGCCGAAATCGCTCTCGATGTGGCAGATTCGCCGGTCGACGCGCTGCTCGTGTCCAGCGATCCTCAGATCGTCGACGTGCTTGGACAGAACGAGCGCCAGCTCCAGAACGCCGGCGCGCCCGACTTCTCGCGCGCGACGTCCTGCCCCGGGCCCCCTCCAACGGGTTCGGCGCCGCGCTCTGGCGAGCGCGTGACCCGGGGGAGCTTCATGGAGAAGCCTCGGGGCGCACCCATGCGCCGCGCGCAAGGCCCGATGCAGCGCGAGCGCTAAGTTTGCTCGTCGCACCTCTCGTCGCCAGGCCCCTGCCGGAGGATGGCTGCGCCGCCGGGTCGCAGGGCGAAATTAGGCCCGAGGGGTACTTGACCTCGTTCCTGCATCTCGGCGCGAGCCACGCCATGCAGGGGGGGGCCCTCGACGACCGCAGCGACGCGCGCCCTGTCTGGGCGACGCGCCGCCCAGAGACAGCAGGCGCCGCGACGCCCGCTTCGCTGCCCCAGCGAGCGCCTCCCTGGCTCTGGCGCCCACGTCGCGGAAGCCCCTCAGCGTCGCGCGACGCCAGATGACCCGGCAGAAACTTGACGCCTGATCCCGCCCCGTGCTTCCACGCGAAGACGCGCCTGGAGTCCATCGCGTTCCGGGCGCCTTTGAGCGGTCGTCCCTCGGAGCATTTGCACATGGCCAAGATGGTGGGCCTTCGAGGATGACGGCTCCAACTCTTGCCAGCCTCGACGCTTCGTTGATGGACAGAAGGTCGGCGTCGCGCTCGACGACCGCGGACTTAACGGCGGCGCAAATGCCGCGCGCGATTGTCCAGGGAGCGCCAGCGACAGTCGTTAGACGCAGCCTCGTTGAAGCTCAAGAATGCTCCGCGCACCCCTTGTTCAAGACCCAACTCCACATGCCTTCCCCCTTCATGCTCCTCCTCTAGCGCGGCGAAGTCGTCGTGCAATCGTTCAAGGAGGTCCCGCGCAGGTAGATGCGGCACTGCCCGCGGCTGCTCCGGCGCTGGCGCTGCGTCTCGAGGCGCTGAGGCCACCCGCGGGGCCCGCGGGCAAGGCCAGCAGCGGCGTGCTCGACAGAAGCGCGGATATTATGCTGACTGTCGGCGCTCTCTAGCTCCTCGAGCTCCCGGGCCAGGTCTTCTGCCCCCATCGACTTCGCGCCAGGCCACTGACATTGCCGGCTCGACGTGGCCGGAGAAGTCAATGTCGGTCTCCTCGGGCAGAGCCGACGGAGCTGGCGATCAGCCACCCTCGGCGGCGCTGGCGGCCTCCTCGGG